GAATATTTACTCCAAAGAAACAGGAAGTATAAGTATATTCCAAGGGGGCATAATTCCCACTCTACTACCTCAGTGGGAAGATGGGGGTGGGTGAGAAAGGAAATAAAGTTAAGACTTAGTTCCTACATAGCATTGGTCCCATCAGCTTCATGTCTAAGTGGATGAGCCTGCATCTCAGGCCCCGCTGCTCTGGATTCCCAAAGGTTGCTCCCAGAAGTTGCTCCTTGTTTCTCCAGGAATTGATGCTACATTGAAAAAACAGTACTCTGGAACAATGGGATGCAGAGGAAGTTTCTACTCTCTTTGTGACTCCCAATGCTGCAAACCTGGACTCTGAAAACAGTGAGATGCTGAGGAGTCCTCTTTAGGACTCAGAAGACCAGAGGCTTCATTCCCTTTCCTGGTTGCCACTCTGCCTTGGGAGTGTTGAAGCAAAAGTTTTGGAGGCAGCTGACAATCCTTTTGGAATAACTCTGTAACCTCTTCTTCATCACCTGGTAGCAACTGGAACCGGTTAAAGAATGTCGATATGTGCTTGACAGTCCATCTCCCAAAGGTCCTTCCCTTCCATATCCTTATGATTCTCCCTTTTAAATTATTTATTATTTTAATTTTTTTTTACATTCATTAAAAAAAAATTTTCGGTTCCAAATTCTCTCCCTCCCTCCAGCGTCACCAGCACTCATTGAGAAGTCAAGCAATCTCATGATTCTCTTGAAATCAGCTCCCTAGCTTTCTCTTCCTGGAGAACCATCATCTTCTCCCTAGTGTCTTCTACATGGAGATGTCATGCGGGCATGTATCAGTCCTCAACTGCTGCAGACTGACTTCTCTGACCCTTGCTTATTTTATTCTCTATGCAAAGTCACCTTGGCTTTGTGATTTCTGCTCCCTCAGAAAATTCTATGCAACTTTTTATACAATAAGGGATGGAATTATTGGAGTGTGCTTTACTTTTTAATGATATGGAGGAAGTAAGACTATCTTTTGTAATCACGGCAAATGGAAATTCATCTGGGAAAAGGGGGTCTTTTCCTTATCTTGGTAGTGAGGGCATAGAGGAAGGAGAAGGGGAATCCACTCATTCCCCACAGAAGGAAGTGTATCCTCAGGAGAGGCCTCTTAAAGGGACCAAAATTTGTTATCATTCCCTTGACTGGGCTGTCAAGGAATGAAAGGTTTTGGTTGGTAAGACAGGGAATCCTGAGTGGTTGGCAGTTTGGGGGTAACCTGTGTCAACTCAGGTCCAGGAACAGGCTTCATGTAAGAGACCTATGACCTCTTACGTAATACAGATATTCAGATGAGTGGGATCTATGATGGGGACTAATGTATTGGAGGCATCATTATTTGTGCTGTAGACCTGATGGTGTCCCTGGTGCTGCTGCTGGCCACAATGGTTGATTTTACCTTAGGAGACCTATCACTAACTTTTGTTATTGTTGTTCACTTGGTTTTTCAGTTTCATGACCCCATTTGGAGTTTTCTTAGCAAAGATACTGGAGGGATTTGCCATTTCTTTCTCCAGCTCATTTTACAGATGAAGAATTGAGGAAAACAGGGTTAAATGACTTGCCCAGGGTCACACAGCTAGTTGGTGTTGGAGGCCATACTTGACTCCGGGCTCCACACTCTATTCACTATACCTCCAAGATGCCCCTATTAACTTACCCTGACATAATTCCAATTATAGGAATTTTAAGAAGATTGTATTTTTTAATGTTTTTATCATTTGTATTAAGCCCTCCCCCCTCACTATCAATTTATTTTTAGAATATTTTAGTGGTGGGAAGTCCCGTAAAAAATTTATGGGGCCTTAGCAAGGAGGTAAGAAGGGAAGAAGATGTAGGAACATAGCAACTGTTTTAGTTAGGTTGGACTGATTTCTCCTTAAGAGGATTGGGGGGTTCTGTCATTGATTTGACTTCCTTGCTTCCTGAGGCATAAAAGGCCCAGCTTATGGGTAACTGGCATTGGAGGTTTTAGAGTTTAGGGTTTTGGGTTCCCATGGTGTTGTAGGATTGCCTTTCCGAAACTAGCATGGACAGGTGCTGTGTTGAATGTAGATGGGAAAGGGAGTAGCTATTTTATCAGAATTGTTATCTTTTTTAACCTTGAGAATTATGTCCTGTTTTCCTTTGTTATAAGTAAATTAATTTTTACTGCATTTTATGATCAACGATTACTTCATTGAATTCTAACCATAATCCCAAATCGCTGGATTGATCAGATTTAAACTTGGCTAAGAATACCTGGTGACCAAACATCTCAACAAGATGAATGTCCTTTAGTAAGGGGCCAGAACACATCCCACAGAAAGGAATCAGAGCACAGACCTCAATGTCTGGCAGATACGAATGTGCTACATTTATGAAGCACCTGCTATATGCCAGGTATTGTGCTAAGTGCTGGGGATAAAAGACAGAAAGAAGAAAGACAGTTACTGCCCTCAAGGAGCTTATAACTTAATTGGGGAGGACAAGGCACAAAAGGGAGATGGAAAGGATGGGAGGAAGAGGAAGGAAAGAAACTAGTCTTTGAAGCATGATTTAGTCCATAAGAGTGCAGGGGGTGGGAAATTAAGAGGTGCCTGGCCTGGGCCCTCTCTTAAGGTTCTGAGATGAGCCCTCCACCCTCCAATCAGAGGGAGAGGCCAGAGGGGAGAAGATAAGGATAAAGTAATAGTTCCCAGGCTTAAGAAATCTTGCAAGATGAAGAGGTTCTTAGGGTTAATGGAAAAGTCCAGGGAAGTTTTAGCTGGCTGGGAAATGAATGTCCAGCTCCATAGAAGATGTCCCAGTTCAGCAGATCAGTATCTTCCCTTGATCACCTCTTTTACTAGGGAAAACAGGGAAAATATAAAGTGACCAGATACTGAGGGTCTGCTGCTAATTATGGAATGCTTATGCTTGGGAAACATGAAGCCAAGAACCACTATAACAATGAAGTTTGTTTTTTGTTGGGTTTTTTGGGTGTTTGTTTTGTTTTGTTTTTCATATTTGGCATTCAAACACCCATCTTTTCTATGTGTACATATCGTTCTTTATTTCCCTGATTCCACAATCATTGCAAATTCTACCCTAAGCTGGTGTATATAGCATATCTAAAGTAAAAAATACCTTTCCCAAAACTCTTTTCCCAGTTTGTCACAATGCTGGAAATTCTCACCACTAAAAGTCACCACTGTTGGGTTAAAGTAGCCGCTGTTAATGATACTTGGGAGGGAGAAAAGGCAAATAAATACCTTTCACTAACACAAGAATACCCATTAACATCTTGTCATGGATTCCTCATTCATGTTATCTGGCACTCACCCAGAATAGTTAAAATTGGAGGTCCACTACAAGGAAATGGGACAAAAGAAAATTTTTATAAAGAAGAAAAATTGAGTACTTGGTAGAGAATATTGTTGTTGGGATAAAAAAAAGATAAAAAGAACCCATGACAATACTATAGCTGTGTGACCTTGGGAGAGTTATTTCCCTCTCTCAATTTTTCAGTCTGTAAAATGAAGAGCTTGGGTTAAATTATCTATTAGGGTCTGGCCAGCTCTAACGTTCAGTCAGGGGAAGCACTGAAAGTGTAAACTTCGAAAAGTAAACTTTGGCTGCTAGGTGTGGCAACGAATGAGTGGATTTAAAAATAAATAAAACCTCTACATTTAAAAGTATTATCCTTTTTCAACTCACTAGTAACAACTGGGAGGCTAAAAACAAATGCTGCCACTGATGCAAATATTTTTAGAGATCCTTTTTTCCTTTATTTTGCACTGTTTTCAGAAGCCACACAAGTCAAATAAGCACTTAAGTGCTTACTATGCCATAGGCACTGTGCTAAGCCATGGGGACATAAAAAAGGGCAAAACCCAGTCCCTGCCTTCCAGAAGCTTACATTCTAATGGGAGGGAACAACATGCAAACAATGGCATATACAGGATAAATTGGAGAGCACTAAGGAAGCCCAAGATCGGTTTCTAGCAAGAGATGAAACTGATGGAAGCCAGCAGGCAAGCATGAAGAAGGAGAGCACTCCAAGCACGGGAGGACAGCCCATGAAAACGAGCGGAGCGTACCTGCTTCACGGTCATGCTACTTGCAACCAGCGCTGTGCACAATCCTTTCCCGCATCGCCGGCCCCGATTTTGTCCCTACGGGCCTCGCCGCATTAGAGGCGCACCGCCACCTATAGAACAGAGGCGGCACTCTAACCAGCTCCTGCGTCCCTCCCTCTCCAGGCTACGTCATTCGGGTCCACAGCCTCGAGGACTCGCAGCTCGCGCTGGGCCGTCGCCGGGCGTGGTGGCGCGCGCCTGTAGTCCTAGCTACTCGGGAGGCTGAGGCTGGAGGATCGCTTGAGCCCAGGAGTTCTGGGCTGCTGTGTGCTATGCCGATCGGGTGTCCGCACTAAGTTCGGCATCAATATGGTGACCCCCTGGGAACGGGGGACCACCAGGTTGCCTAAGGAGGGGTGAACCGGCCCAGGTCGGAAACGGAGCAGGTCAAAACTCCCGTGCCGATCAGTAGTGGGATCGCGCCTGTGAATAGCCACTGTACTCCAGCCTGGGCAAGATAGTGAGACGCGGTCTCTTTTTCCACGTTTTGCACTTATGCATCCCATTAAAAACCAAAACAAATCCACCAAGTTGAAGGGTTGAGAAGTGGGCGGCTTCACGATAGGGGTAAATCGTTTCCATACATTACTCGAGCCTGGAACAAAAGGCAAAAAAGATTCAGCGAAACGTTGAGCTTAGCACTCAGATGATGCTTAAAACAAAACACTCGCGTGTAGAGTTGTTGGTTGAACTCTGCTCTCTAAACAAAAACGGGAAAAGTTACGTTTCTCTGTTAAAATTGACAGCGCAACTTGCAAAAACACAAATTTCTCTTTGCTCCGTACTGCCCTCTGCTGGACATTTCGCAACATTATCAAGAAATATAAAGCAAAGAATTTTTGTACCAGCAGGAGTCGCTAGGACTTAAGTTCGGAAGGCACACGTAAAGGAAGAAAAATAAACAAAGGCTGCCGGATCTGAATTCAGTCAGGATATTCGTCCGGGAGGATAGACTAGTAGACCAGAGACTCTCTGTCTCTAACTTAAGGAACTAGAAAGAGACAGCAGTGCCGCTAACTTGGAGGCGAGCTTCCGTGAAGTTTGGCTCCGCCGGCCCGCCGTCCGTTTGATTACTGCGCCTGCGTGCGGCCGCCAGCGGCTCCGAGTCTGTCAGGACGGGCGGCCCTGAGCAGGAGCGGGGCAGGAAGTGGAGCGGCTCGGGGTCTTTCGCCATGAAGACTCGGTTCAGCTCCGTCGATATCTGCGCTATCCTCTCCGAGTTCAATGCCAGGTAGGTCGGGCGCCGTGGGGAGCCGGGGGAGGCCTACCGTGGTACGACGAGTACCTGAGCTCTGTTCTGCCTTTCCTGATAACGCCAGGCCCCTCTCGGGGGAAGCGGAGCCTCGGGGGTGGGGGGAGCAGGTGGCCGACCACCGCGGGGTGGGGGTGGGCGTGAGGACGAGCATTGGCGGTCTGCGAGCTCGTGCGACCCCGCCCGGCCTGGAACGGGCTCTTTCCGCCTCGGAATTTGTCACCCACCGGCCGCGACTCCTGGGCGGACTCCCCTGCGGACACCGAGGTTTTTTTAAAAACCCTTTAACATTTTTAAAGCATTCTGTGAACGTGAGCCGAGCCTGGAAGTCAGGGAGAGCTCCTGACCCGGGCTGTGGCCACACGGGCGAGGTAACCTCTCGGTGGCACCGGGCAGCAGCTCGCTGACACTTAGACGTGGTTAAACTTAAAGTGTTGACACTCAGTTTTGTAGCGCTACAGACGATTAAATAAATGTGTCGGTAGGAGATGAAATTACAGATTCTGTTTAAAAAGAGAAGCTTAAATAAATGGGAGTCATCGTTACCATGCCTTATTATACTAGTTTCCTAATACAGTCCAAAATCAGGTTTGTTTGGGGTTTTGGGGGGGTGTTGGGGGGGGAGAGCTCTCCTGTGACACTTTATTCACATTGATGTGAGAATAAGGATAAATTTAGGATGTAAGAATAGTTAGTATTAGGATTGCCTCTTGTCACGGAGTCCTTTTCTCTATTCTTACATCTCAGATCTCTTTATCCTCAAGTCATTGTGAATAAACAATGTCACATGGTAGCAAAAAAAAAATCTGATTTTATTAGGATTAGGAGAGGCATAGTGTTCAGAAAGAGAAGGAAGGGTATAGTTCTGAGAATGACATTTTAGGAAAAACATTAATTTAGATTGATTGAGTCTACAGGATGACAACCATAATGGAAGGGACTGGAAACCATACCATATGTGGATCCATTGAAGGAGCTGGGGATTTTTCTCCTGTGTGTACCAGAGGGGAGGAGGATATATATTTCTTCATATATTTAAAGGGCTTTCATTTGGAAAAGAAGCTGGACCCCGGGGGTAATATGAATGAATGGAAGTTAGAGATTAGCAGATTTCAGCATAGAAAGAAGAAAAGATTTCAGTTAGAGCAGTCCAGAAGCAGAGTGGACAACTTTAGGCAGTCAAGCTGGGTGAAAACTTGTCAAAGATGTGAATGGGGCTTTTTTTTCAGGTATATATTGGACTAGATGACCTGAGAGCTCTGCTAAATGAGATTTTTTATTTCTCAAGTCCTGGCTCTGTAAATTTATGCAAGTTACTTAACCTGTCTAGCTGTTTCCTCATCTATGAAATTAAGAGATTAGATTAGTTTGTAAATCTGTGTATGTTATTGATGCAGCCTACCGAGTGTACTGTTTTTCTCAGTCCTGCAAAATGTGATTTGTTACATATTTTCTTTTGCCTTACAGCTTGTTAGGAATGAGAGTACACAATATTTACGATGTGGATAATAAGACATATCTTATACGCCTTCAAAAGTAAGTATTTCGTGTTTTTAACTTATTCTGATTATTTAAATCTGAGATTGTTAGTTTTTTACCTTAATTTTTTTCACATTGTTTCCCTGGCAGATATTGTTTTTTAAGACAGGTTTTTTTCTTTTTTTCACAGACCAGACTTTAAAGCTACACTTTTACTTGAATCTGGTATACGAATTCATACAACAGAGTTTGAATGGCCAAAGAATATGATGCCATCTAGCTTTGCCATGAAGGTAACTTTCACTTGGACAGGAGAAGCTAAATTTTAAAATTGCAGTCTACTCATTTAGAGTTAATTCATTTGTATCTATGTGATTTTCCTTTCTTTTGTGTGTGTGTTACTGAAACAAAGATAAACTATGCAAATTCACTTAATTTTTCTTAACCTCATTTTTTCATCTTCAGAGTACATAGTAGAATTTGATTCCTGGTAAATTTCTAGGATGTATTATTAAACAGATAATTACTGAAAATCTAGAATAGGAGGTGGTAATCACAAAACAGCATGGCTTTATTAAGAACAAGCATAGTCAGACTAGCTTCATTTCCTTTCTTGACGGGTTTACTAAATAATATATGAATAGAATTCAATTCATAAATCTATGTTAAGTACTTGCTGTATTGCAAAGGCAATGTGCTAATAGGGGATATAAAGATGAAAGTAAATACAATGCCATATTATATTCTACTGGAGGGATGGAACTTGTACACAAATAAGTATATTTCTAGGATATTTTAGTAGGGAGAACACTCACATTGAGGGAGTCAGGGAATGGTTCCCAGAAGAGTTGCCATGTAGCTTTGAAGAAAAGAATTCTGAAAGGGATAGTTAAGAAGGCATTTCAGGCATGAGAAATAATTTGTGTAAATACAAGGCGGGAGGTGAGAGATGGAGAACTGAATGTAGTGAACAGTAGTCCTGTTTGACGAGAGTTTAGTGTTCATAAAGGGAAGTAGCGTGAAATGAGTGTGGAAAAGTAGGTGGCGACTGGGTTGTGGAAGGCCTTCAACATCCGACTGAAGAGTTTGCATTTTATCCTATAGGTGGTGAAGACTCATGACCCCAGGGAGCTTTGTGAGTGGAGAAAAGGGGATGAATTTGTGAGATGCTATGAAATTTATTAGATTTTGTAGTAGGGGATGACAGTGAGGGAAGATTTCCCAGCCACAAGCTCCAAACCATGTTGCTTCTCTTCAGTCCTCCATCCTTACTTCCTCCCTATTGAAAACTTGGGCCTCTCCTCCCCAGGAACCACCATGGGGTGATAGGTGAGCCTTATCTTGCCAGGCGTTAGCCTTTACTGTATTTCCTAGCCACCAGTTCTAATCCAAGCCCCAAGCTTCCTTTCCCCTCCCCAATTTCCAGTTCTTCTTTGTGCTGAAGCCAGCTCTAATACACTTGGGAGAGCCCCTTGTTAAATTTTCAGTGTGAGCATTTGCACCTCTGAAATCTCTACAAATTGGGACTTGATTTATTATTTTTCCAATTGTGTAGACTTAAGAAAATATTAGTAAATGTAGATTAAACTTAGAAGTGTTTGTAATTCAGAGAAATTGGAAAATTTGGAGGACTAGCAGGTTTATAGGGAAGATAATGAAAATTTCGCTTTGGAGATGGTACATTTGAGTTGGCTGTTGAACATCCAGGAGGAGATATCCAGAGAGTAATACATGATAGTTCAGGAGAGAGTTTAGGACTAGACATGTAAATTTGGGAGTTTCCTGCAATATGTAATCATTGAACTCAGGAGAGAGGAGAGACCAGAATAGTTAAGGACTAAATGGCTAGGGGCAGCTAGGTGGCGCAGTGGATAGAGCACTGGCCCCGAAGTCGGGAGGACCTGAGTTCAAATGCCGCCTCAGACCTGACACATAATAGCTGTGTGACCCTGGGCAAGTCACTTAACCCCAATTGCCTAAAAAAAAAAAACCAAAACAGACTAAATGCTAAGAGCTGAATCTGATGATATGAAATTTAGTAGAAATAAAAATCAACTTTCGTATTTGAGGTTCAAAAAAATCAGCTCCACAAGCTGAAGTTGAGATGTGGCTAGACATCAGTTCATGTGAAAAAGATCTAGGGATTTTAGTGGACTGCGAGCTCAATGTGAATTGACAATTTGAGACATCATCCAAGAAAGATAAGGCAGTGTTAGGCTACACTTAGAGATTCATAGTGTCTAGGACTAATAAGATGTGACTCCCACTGTACTGTGCCATTAGACTAAAATCTGTAGTGTTACGGTCAGGTCTAGGCACTACACTGTAGGAAGGACATTGATAGGCTGGAGAGCACATAGAAGTGGGCAGCTAGAACATCAAACAGCCTGGAGATCATGCAGTGTGATGATCTGGTGAAGGAACTGAATTAATAAATGAATGAAGAGGTATTTATTTATTAATTGGTTACTACGTGTCAGACACTGTGCTAAGTGCTAGGAATTCAATTTTTAATTCCTTCAGATAAAGAGAAGCAGCTACTTATGGGGAAGTAGTGGCTAGGGAAGAGTGTTTTGTTCTAGAAAGTCATAGGGATGATGAGTTGAAACATAGATTGTTCTATTATAGACATACTTTTTCCAGAAGCAGTGATGGTGATTTGATTGCTGTTGGCAGGGCAAGAGGTAGAATGTCAGGAAGCACCTATGTAACAGCGTGGCTGGGAGATGGCAAAGGTGAAGCATTGTCAGTGGTCTGGGCTGGCTAATGGAAGATGTTTAGTAATAAGAAGAACCACAGGGGAACATAATAACCATTTACAAGTATTTGAACAACCGTCACTTGGAAGAGAGGATAGACTTGTACTTTTCCCCAGAAGGCAGAATCAACATTAGTGGGTTGTAATTCAGTCTTTCTCACTTGAAGTTATCCAAACATAGAATGGTCTACCATAGGAAGTGGTCTCCCCAGAGCTCTTCAGAGGCTTGAAGACTGCTTGTCAGGTAGGTCACGTAAGGGATTCTTGTTCAGGGAGACTTCAGTTGCCTCGTCATAGTGAGCCGACTTCTGAAACATTTCTCCTCAACATCTAACACCTGCTCCCTGTTAACACGGCCTATTGAAAAAGCTTCTTGATTGGTCCTCACTTCAGGTTTCTTCTCCTCTGCGGGTCATTCTTCATGTAGCTGCCAAAATAAGCTTCCTGTGACACAGGTCTGACTGTGCTATTTACCTGCTCGAGAAACTGTAGTGATTCCCTGTTGCCTTTTAGACAAAGTAATATTTCTTCAGCCTGGCCTTTGAAACCTTTCATAATCTGGCTCTTGCCTGTCTTTTTCTTTTTTTCTTTTTTTTTTATTAATTTATTTTGATGTATCAACAATCACTTCCATAAGCTTTTGAGTTTTACATTTTTCTCCCCTTTCCTCCCCAAGATGGTGCACAATCTGGTATAGGCTATACACATACGTTCCTATTAAACATATCTGCCTGCCTTTTTCGCCATCATTTCACGTTATTCTATTTTTCTAGCCAAACTGGACCAAGTCAGCTTCCATCTCCTGTCCCCTTCCCTTTGTACAAGTTGTCCCTTATGCCTGTAATGTGCTGCCTTTGATCCTTAGGATTCTTAGCTTCTTGCCAGGCTTAGCTCAGTTGGCAAGGTCTAGGTAAGTCTTTCCTGGTTCCCACCCCCATCCCCCACCCACCAGTTGTTAGTGCTGTCTCCTCACTTTACTTTGTATTTTTGTAGGATGTACTCCCTACCCTCTACCCCCAAGAGACTTGAGGATAGGGATGGCCTAGTTTTTTGACCAAATAAGGTTATATATAAAATTATTTTAAGGCCTCATAATACTATGTAAACATGAGCTTTTGTGATTATTTTTATTATTATGTCTTTATATCTCAGTACTTTGCATATAGTAGGTGTCTAATTAGTATTTATTGGATTCAGTTTTTAAAACTGAATATAAGTATACTACCCAAATTCTGATCCAGTAATAAATGACTTAGAAGCTCATTTTTATGATACAAATGACTTTTCCCTTCTTTCTTGATAGTGCCGAAAGCATTTGAAGAGTCGTCGATTGGTCAGTGTAAAACAGCTTGGTGTGGATAGGATTGTAGATTTTCAGTTTGGAAGTGATGAAGCTGCCTATCATTTAATCATTGAGCTTTATGATAAGGTGAGTTGAAAACCTTTTTTTTTCCTTCTGAGAAATTACAATTATTATGTTATGTATTCAGCATTAAATTACTATAGTGTGAAGTATAGTTGGAGAGGCCTTTTTCTCTCAATGACCCACAGTGGTCCACAAAAAAAGTAACAGTGATAGCCCACCAAAAAAAATAACAATAATAGTTTCTGGTGGTCAAATTTCATATAGTCCTCAGTTGTCTAAAATAGTAGGCTCTAAAGTGGTCTGTGGTCTTACCCCAAGAAGTGTGTGATCAATTGGAGGGTTGAAAGGTGGATCACATCAGGGGCCTGCCAGTTTGTGCTGGCTCTTGAGAGCCAATTTTAAAATTTTCATTGTATGCATTTACATCTTGGAAATTGGCAAATGATGTAAATCAAGACTTGATTTATTGTTTTAATGATTGTATAGACTTAAGAAAGTGATGGAAAAATGTTAATAATGTATATTGAACTTAAAAGTATGTCATGCTTACATGGGAGGGAGGGGAGCTAGTTGTTAAACATTTACCAGCACGCTTCTGGATCCTATCTCTCCAGATAGCCAGTTGTGAGATTTGTCTCCAACATAACTGTACCTTACTTTATCCCTTAACAGTCCCTACTCTGCCCTTTCCACTTTGTAAACTCCCAGCTTACTCCCTTCTTTGCCAAGTGTCAGCCCCTCAGGCGATTGTAGCCTAACCAGAGCTGGGACACTTGAGACAAGTGCATAAGTGCTATGGAGAAAGTTTCCCTTTTCATCCACCACACCCATGACATTGTAGCTATTGCAGGTGACTGTCAGAAGTTGGGCACTGTTTACTGGTATTAGATCAGTGAGAAAGCCCTACCGCCTCCTTTTTTTGGTGGGATAGAGTGAGTTGCACAGGAGGAGCAGGGGTGGATATATTGTGTTAGATTACAAATCTCATTTCATTATCTTCTTCCAAAATACACCTGTGTTCTGAACTTCCCTATTACTATCAAGAGCACCACCATCCTTCTAGTCTCCTATGTTCATAACCTTAGTGTTGACTTTGATTCCTTACTCTTCCTCACTCCACATGTTCCATCACTTGCCAGTTTTGGTTCTTTCTGCCTCCATGTCTCTTGCATTTATTCACTTTTCTCTACTTACACAGCCTAGTTCAGGTCTTCATCACCTATCATCTGGCTTCTCTGCCCTCAAGTCTCTTCTCTCTTCCGTATGTCCTCCACACAACTTCCAAATTGCGCAGGCCTTCCATTCCCCTATTCAGTAAACTCCAGTGGCTCCCTATTGACTCTAGGATGAAATCTTATTTAATTTTAATTTCATTCTTTATGTATTTCTATTTTGTGTTTTATGATGTACGTATTTATTAGTATAGTAGCATGTAGACAATTAAGAAAATATGCATATATTAAAAATGCTTAGAAATTTTTTACATATGAGTTATGATAAAAAAAATTTGGAGATCACAAGTCTAAAACAGACATGAAACAAAAGACAAGACCTGAGATTTGAGGAAAATAAAAGCCACAGAGCTCTTGCTCTTTAAGAGAGTTATAATATTATAATAAACAAAAGGGGAAAGTTATGAAATTACATGCCTAGATCAGACCTTTCTTAGCTTCGCTTTTTTTAACTTGTTTCTCATTTTGGCAATATTCTTTAGTTCTTAATCATGCACACTTTGCAAAAATGTTCCATTTTTGGAATTCATGGTTTGTACTATCCATATTTTCTGCCCAGGCACCAGGGGTCTGATAGGAGTGACAAAATGATATGATAGAAAGTTCTGATTCATGTTTGAGTTCTGTAAAGAATTTTGATTATGAATAACAAAGGATACATGTGGAAAGCTATTTCTTTATTACTGTAAATTTAACATGCACAGGTTCTAATATGTAAAATATGGCATCAACCACAGAATCTTAAAGTTTGATTGAAAATAATATACTTTAACAAAATAAGAACAAAAGAACATATTTAGTCTATGTCCCTTTCTAAATATTTTTGTCCGTATAAAGCTCCATTTTCGTTAATGTAGACTAGGCCTGTGATTTTCTTATTCTAGGGACTTCCCAATAAGAAAACTTCCTCTGCCAGTACAAATAGGCAGGTGGCCTACAACTTGAGTTTTATAGAGCTACTTCCTGGATTGAGAGGTTAAGTGATTTTCTCAGGGTTATATACTCATCATGGATGAGAGGTGGGGTTTGAACCCATATGCTTGAGGCTAGCCTCTTAAATACTATGCTGGAGGTTCCTAATATTTTTTGTTTTTCAAACTTCTTTGAACAAAAAACCCTCGTACTTCTAAGTGTCTATTATTTGACAGTTTCTGCTAATGATAGCAAATACATTCCAGTAAATGAAGGCAGCAGTAGGTAATAGATATTTTTAGTGTTGATTTTATGTTGTGATTTCCAGGAATGCATTGTATGTTAAAATTTTTAAAATTAAAAATTGTATGGGCCTGTAGTGCTCCATAGACAGCCTTTAAATCATCCTTAATGCCATTGCTGCTGAAAGTTAAGTAGTGTATAACACTAGTGTCATAGGGATTACCTTGCAATTAAAATTACAAATGAGATGCCTGTTTGTACTCAAATGTATGGTTCCTAATGTTTCTTCAAATTTTTTATACATATTTCTAAAAACTTGTCTCCTACGAGCTCAAGAATTATCTCAGCAGTAGTGTAAGTTACTGTATTCTGTTAGAAATAACAGAGTATCTGTTAAGAGTGCCTGTGTTTTTGTCAATGTGAAGAACTGCCATCGAGGACACACCCTCTACCAGTGCAGATTGGTTTCTTAAATTATAGTGCTTCCAGTGGGTTTCAAACTAAAGTTCTTTAAAGTTTCTGCAATCAGATTATTAAGGGATGTTAAGGAAATAAGCTAGAGAAGGTGTTTGGATTTTCTGTTTTTAAACTTCATTTCACTGCGTGTTGGTTGAAACTCTTTGAAGATTCCTGTTTTTCCTCCTTTGAGAAAAACGTTAAGCTACAAATTGTTTTTAAATTTTTATTTCAGGGGAATATCGTTCTTACCAACTATGAATACCTAATTTTAAATATCTTGAGGTTTCGAAGTGATGAAGCAGATGATGTAAAGTTTGCTGTTCGAGAAAAGTATCCAATTGATCATGCTAGGGTAATGGAACCATTGCTTTCATTGGAAAGGTAATTAATGCTTTATTTATAATAAACATGCTATATTTTGCTAGGGAAATAAAATTAGACCTGTCCTAATATTATGATTTGAAATGCTTGTGTCTGTTTTCACTTAGATAAATTAGGTCTACTAACATTGTCTAAAATGTCTAGAATTAAGTTTAGTATGTCTGTTAAGTTATATGCATATGTGGCCTTTTCAGGCAAACCCTGTTTGGGGTTGCAAACTAAAGACATTTAGCCACATTTTTTAATTACTTCTGGTAGTTTCCTCTCAAAATGAGGGGAAGTTAGATATTTCTGGTTTTGTAGAAAGATGAATGTCTTGAGTGTAAGAGAGACTGAAGACAGATGAGATTTGTATCTTCTAGAGAGCAATTAGTATACGTAAGCTCTAGAAAAAGAAGACATGGTTAGATATTGGTTCTTGAACTTGTAATGACAGACTCCTTTACTTTAATGAAAACTTTGGTAAAGTGTTTACGGTGAAATTTTTAAAAACAATTTAAATATATCCTGTAATAACAAATAACAAAAAGCCGATTTTAAATATATTGCATTTGTTGATCAGTTTGATTCTGCCAGTATCATAATCAGTTTACGTAAGTAGAAACAAAGCATGTGATTGCTAGCAGTCAGCACCTTAAAATTGAGAACAGTGTGAGTTGATTGGATATGATAGCTCACCTTGTAAGATGTTTCACAATAGTTCATATTGCCCTTTGTTTATGTAAGCCAGTATGTTGGGAAATTGTTATAATTTTTCATATTTTGTCTTTAAAAACTAGAATTTTGTTTTAAAACTTCTTGTGTTTGTTTGAAAATACCTTTGTGATTTTTGCCTGAACCATGGAACTGTTTTTTAAAATGATACGTTATACATTAGAATCACTGGAAGTAAACCTGCATTTGAAATAGCTAGGGTCATATTGACATTTGTTCTATATTTGGGATTTGGTATTGAATCCAAGTTTGTGGATGTTTGTTTTATCGTCAGAATCATAATAATAAAGACATCCTTTCTTGTCTCTAAACTTCGTTTCCCCTAATTATTCAAAATAGATATTTACATAAAAATTTAATAGTTGAAAAGCAACCTTAAGAATATAAAGAAAGATAAATTATTTTATGCATATTCAGCCAAAGTTACTCAGTCTTATTTTATTTTCAGTTCTAAGTTCTCTCCTTCCCTGAACTCCTTCCCCATGAAGGCAAGAAATACAATAGCCATTACACATGTGAAGTCATACAAAACATATGGCATTAGCCATGTTCACTACTACCAGCCAAAAAAAGAGGAAAAAGAAAGAGAAAAATATGCTTCAGTCTGCACTTAGTGCAATAGTTCTCTGTTTGGAGGTGGAGAACATTTTATATCATGAGCCCTTTGGAATTGTATTCAGTCATCATATTGATCAGAATTGTTGAATCTTTCAAAGTTCATTATCTTTGTAATGTTGTTACTGTGTAGATTGTTCTCCTGATTCTGCTCACTTCACTTTGTGTCAGTTCATATAAGTCTTCCCACATTTTTCTGAAACTGTTCCTTTCATCATTTATGCCAGCATAATTTTTACAGTATTACATTCAAAGACCACAACTCGTTCAGCTATTCTCCATTTGATAGTTCAGCAAAAATTAAAAGTCAGCTGATTGTGCTACAGACATTATTGGGTTTTATCAATAAAAGTTTCTTATTGGTTCAGGACAAAATATTTCCAGTGATCAGTTTTAACTGTTCTCTACGTTAGCTGAATGCATACATTATATGTGATATGAAATGGAGAGCAAAGTGATTCTTTGTGTCTGCCACCATAATTTTTGTTTTGTAGAACCCTGAGGTTATATAGAATAGAATTTGAGAAATGATGGACTAGAACATTTCTATAATTGAATTTTGGCTAGAAAAAGCTGATTGCCATAATAATGCACTGCTTTAAGTGACTGATTAGACAAATACACATATACCTACACACAGTGGTGTGAAGACAGCATAGGGAAACATGCGCATCATTTTATTTCTTCTCTGAAAGTAATTTTTTTCCCAGATGACGTAGCTTTAAGCAAATTAAAGAAGGAATTCTTATTTTTTCATAGATTAACTGAAATAATACACAGTGCACCCAAAGGAGAACAGTTAAAGAGGATTCTTAATCCATATCTCCGTGAGTAATGCTATGTATTACAATGTATTATGTGTAAGATAAGCAGTTTAGAATAATTTCTTTTAAAAAACCACTCTTTGATTTGTTCTTTACTGGAAAAATGTAAATTAGCATGCTTGAGAACATTCAGTTCAGCAAACATTTATTGAAATAGAAATGAGAGTGAATCTGTGTTGGAGGCAAGACCATCTGTAGAACACTGAAGGATTATATTAAAAAGTATCTTAGAGAGGGGAAGAAAAAAATCACAAGTAATATATTTCCCACAAAAAAAGACTAATGAGAGGACGTCATCTACTGTATCTGGGGCCATCACCAGTCATCTTGACTTTTGTCTTGCCACAGGACTTCAATGACTGGAAGAGAGAGGCTGAAAACTTTGCATAGCTCTGTCTCATTTAAATCCAATACATGAGCAACTTAAGACATCACCTGTGATGTCATTGGTCCTCTTTGAAAATGAAGAATGGACAACAACAATAACTCAGATGCCTGCTTTCTTATCTTTATGCAATATATACCCCCCCCCAAAAATCTTGTTTTTGTTCAGTTGTTTTTCAGTTGTGTCTGACTCTTTGTGACCCTGTTTGGGGTTTTCTTGGCAAAGATAGTAGAGTGGTTTGCTGTGTCCTTCTCCAGCTCATTTTACAGATGAGGAACTGAGGCAAACAGGGTGAAAGGACTTGCCCTGGGTCACACAGACAGTAGGTGTCTGAGGTCATATTTGAACTCAGGAAGATGATCTTCCTGACTCCAGGCTTGGCACTCTGTCTGCTGTGCCACCTAGCTACTACCAAAAAAATCTACACAGGTATGAATAGATATCCTTCATAAAAATATGAGAAGGAAACAGGCAAGCTGTTGTAGATCATTTTTGACATCTTTACAATTACACAGTTGATTAAAACAAGCAGAGAATACTAACACAATCAACCAAGAATCATTTATTAAGCACCTACTATATGCCAGGCACTGTGCTGCGTGTTGGAGATACCAAGACAAAAATGAAACATTCTCTGCCCTAGAAGAGCTTATATGCTATCAAGAGAACAAAAGCAAATATATACAAAATAGATGTAAGATAAATGCATGGTGATATGGGAGGAGACTTGCACTGGGGGGAAGGGAGAAGGCCTGAGGAAAGACTCCTTATAGGAGGTGGCACTTGAGGTGAACTTTGAGGGAAGCGAGAGATTCTAAAAACAGGTGAGAAGTGGAGAGAATTCAAGGCATGGGAGACAGCCTGTGCAAAGGCATGGTGATAGGAGATGGAATGTCATGTGTCAGAGACAGCAAAAAAGTCGACATGGCTAGGATGTATAGTGCCAAAAGGGAGGTAATGTGTAATAAGTCTGGAAAGGTAGCATTTATTTATTTATTTATTTGGATTAATTAATTTTTTTTTGGCTAGTCAGTGGGGTTAAGTGACTTGCCCAGGGTCACACAGCTAGTCCAACAAGTATTTATTAAATGCTTACTGTTTGCTAGGAATTATGCTAAGCACTGAGAATACAAAAAAAAGAGCAGAGCAATCCCTGCCCTTTACGTAGCTTGCATTCTAATTGGGGGGGGGATAAATAGTGCATGAATACATAGCTCATACATAAATGCTCATCGATGCATGCAGTGTGGATGGAAAGTAACCTCAGAAGGGAAGGTACTAGGGCAGCTAGGGGAAGAAGGACAGGAAAAAGACTGTGCGAAAGGTGATACTTGATCTGAGTCTTTAAGGAATTCAGGGAAGCTGAGAGGTGGCAGTAAGGGAGGAAGAAGAACATTCAGTGCAGTGACACAGAGATTGGAGATGGAGTGTCATGTTAGTATGAGCTTGAAGATTTTTCTTTTTTTGCAAGGCAGTCGGGATTAAGTGACTTGCCCAGGGTCACAGAGCTAGTAAGTGTTGTGTGTCTGAGGTCACATTTGAACTCAGGTCCTCCTGACTCCCAAGGCCAGAGCTCTATCTACTGTACCACCTAGCTGCCCCCTTTAAGATTATTTTGATAACTATGTGGAGTATAGATTGGAGGTAGGAGACCCTGGAAACAGAGATCAATTAAAAAGCCCCCGCTTTATGCAAAACAGTCTCCAAATCTGGAGGAATGAAGTGATAGTAAGGTTAGTTAGTTATATATCGAAAATCTGGGTTTGATTATCACATCTATGTGGATGGCTCCCAGATCTCTATATCCGACTCTAGTGTCTCTTCAGTTCCAGTCCTAGGTCACTGCCTGCCTGTTGGACCTTTCATATTGGATTGTCCCATAGACATCTCAAACCTATTATATTCAAAACAGAACTTACTACCTTTCCTCATAAACCAATAACCATTCCAAACTTCCCTATTTCTGTTGGGGGCATCAGGATTCCATTCTTCTAGGTTTACAGCCTCTGCTTCTCCTCAGCCTCTTGCTCTTTCTTAACTCATTTATCCAATCAATTGCTATATCTTGTTATTCCTATCACCACAATATCTCTTGCAGTCATCTCCCTCTTACTATTCACATAACTACCACTTTAGTTCATGCCCTCATCACCTCTTACCTGGACTGTTGCAATGGCCTCTTAATTGGTCTCCTTGCCTTGAGTCTTTACTCAAGTCTATCCTTTATACAGCTACCAAAGTGATTTTCCTCAGGTGCAGATCTGACCATGTCACCCCCCTCTACTCAGTCAACTCCAGTGTCCTTTTGTCTCAAGGATAAAATTTAAACTCCTCTGTTTGGCTTTTAAAGCCATTCACAAATTGGTCCTGAACTACCTTTTTGTCTTCCTTATATATTACTCTTCTTCCCATACTATGTGGTCTAACCAAGCTGCCTTCTTGCTGTTTTTCACACCCAGCATACCATCTCCCATCTCTGCCTTTGCCCTGGCTGTTCCCCATGCCTGGAATGTTCTCATTTCTGCCTCATAGGATTCCTTATGTTTTTCAAGATTTAGCTCAAATACCACATATATGAAGCCTTTCCTGATTTCTTCAACTGCTAGAACCCTCCCTCCCGAAACTATCTTGTGTTACCTCTGTATATACTTATATTTGTACGTTTTTTCTCTTCTGATAGAATGTAAGCTTTTGGAAAGCAGAGAACATTTCATGTCTTTGTGTCTGTCATTGTCTTTATCCTTAGAGTCTAGGATAGTACCTGATACATAGTAAGTGCTCAATAAATTTCTGTCATTGTACACATACAGACATACATAGGAAAGTAGTTTAGTGTGGTGGGTAACAACCTAGCCTTGGAATCAGGATTACGATCATAGATTAAAGTCCTGCCTTTGACACATAATAGCCTTAGCGCCCCCAAGAGAGCACAGTTATTTTTAACCAACAGTGTGATTGAAAACATGGTTTGCTTTTTTAGCACAATTTCTGCAACAACATAGTAACATTCCAGGTTTTATTTTCTCAAATGTTAAAAATTAAAAACAAGTTAACATTCTGCATCCTCAGAGGGAGTTTGTACATGGGCAAGGAAGTCCCAGCACCACTGAAATTAGAGACCCAAACTCATGTATGTATATATGTCTGTCTGCATGTACTTGTGCACATTCCTACAGATATATACACATCCATTTTATATTTATATAGACCTGTATAATAAGTATAGACAGGCACTGTAGATGGGCAATGATCTTGGCCCAGAATTGCGGAGTAAAAGGCTGAGAGAGTTTGAGTTTGAGAAATTTCACAGTGCTTTCAAATTATTCATTGCTTTAGAAACACATCTCTTTAATGCCAGGATACTCTTGTTCTATTTGGCTATGAATCATGGAGCATAATTTCGAAAGAGTAAAAATTCTAGACTAAGGTCAGTGAAAAGATAAATGGTGGGACATAAGAAATTTACTGTGGTATGTCACCAATAATGACATGTATATAAGAAGTATCATAAAAGATATGATCAAAAACATTTACTACCAGAAAAGATGGTGAGCCTGTCGTTTATTGAGAATGAGATATAATAAATGGACATCTTAAGTGGTATATTTTTATTACCCAAATATTGAAAAAGCCAGACAAAGGCCTCCAAGTGCATTAGGTAGATTTTCTTTGCAAGGAGTGAGTAAGGGATGATCAGTGTGAATCATTTTCAGTCTGTATCAGTGGAGAGAGTACCTGTATGAACCATGAAATCATGGTTCCATCAAAGGTTAAGTAGTGTGAACAGGAATTTGTCATGTGAAATTGAGCCAGTGTTTCATTCTGAAACATTGTTAATTTGGTATCCACTATGACCACAGTGGGTTATTTTGTTTTTGAATGAATGAAGCAGTTAATGAGCACTTCCTGCGTACAGAGCACTGGAGATAAAAATACAAGTGTTAGACAGTCCCTAGTCTCAGGGAACTCACATGGAGGAGACAACACATGGGAGGCTTCAGTTGCAAGTCAGATGGAAGGGTCCCACAGACCGTATAGTGTAGTAGCAAAGCAGATAGAAATGCCTCTTTTCCTCTTTCCAGATATCATTTCCACGGTAAAAGTCATGTCATTCCCTATAGGTCAAAATGAGTACATGATTTAGACATGAGGGATGATGCCATAAGCAAATTAGGAAAGCAAGGAATAGTTTACCTATCAGATCTATGAAGAAGGGAAGAATTTATGACCAAACAAGATAGAGAACATTATGAAATACAAAATGGATAATTTGATTACATTAAATTAAAAAGGTTTTGCACAAACAAAGCCAATGTAACCAAGATTAGAAGGAAAGCAGAAAGCTGGGGAACAATCTTTACAGCCAGTGTTTCTGATAAAGGCTTCATTTCTAAAATATATAGAGAACTGAGTCAATTTTGTAAAAGGCATTCCACAGTTGATAAAGGGTCAAAGGATATGAATAGGCAGTTTTCAAAGGAAGAAATTAAAGCTTTCTATAATCACATGGAAAAAAAATACTGTAAGCCACTATTGATTAGAAAACTGCAAATTAGATTAGAGAAATACAAATTAAAACAACTCTGAAGTACCATGATTGGCTAATACGACAACAGGAAAATGATAAATGTTGGAGAAGATGTGGGAGAATTGGAACAGTAATGCATTGTTGGTGGAGTTGAACTGATCCAACCGTTTTGGAGAGCAATTTGGGACTATGCCCAAAGGCATGCTCTTTGATCCAGCAATACCACTACTAGGTCTGTATCCCAAAGAGATATTTATAGCACCTCTTTTTTGGGATGTGAAAGTTGGAAATCGATGGGATGCCCATCAGTTGGGGCAAATGGCTGATCAAGTTGTGGTATGTGAATGTAATGGAATAGTATTGTGCTCTAAGAAATGATAAACAGGCAGATTTCAGAAAAACCTGGAAAGGCTTCCATGAATTGATGCTGAGTGAAGTGAGCAGAACCTGGAGAACGTTGTACACAGCAATAGCAGCACTGTGCAGTGATTAACTCTGATAGACTTAGCTCTTCTCAGCAATTCAGTGATCCAAGGTATTTCCAAAAGACTTAGATGGAAAATGCTAAACATCCAGAGAAAGAACTATGGAGTCCAAATGCAGATCGAAGCATGTTATTTTCACTTTATTTTTTTTGTTTTGTTTTTTCTTTCTCATGGTTTTTCCCTTTTGTTCTGATTCTTCCTTCACGACATGACTAATGTGGAAACATGTTTAACATGATTGTACATGTATAACCTATGTCAGATTGCTTACTGTCCTGGAGAGGGAGGAGGGGAGGGATAGAGAAAAATGTGGAACTCAAAATTTTACAAAACTTAATATTGAAAACTGTCTTTACATGTAATTGGAAAAAAATAAAATACTAATCTGTTTTTAAAAAATAAAATTAACAGAAAGAAAAAAATTAAAATAACCAGCGTAAAGTAATAAAAAAAAATTTTTTAAATAAAAATCACATCATTTTCTGATTCCTTTGGTGACAAGAACTCTTTTTTTCCCCTGGGTCTTCAGTATTGATGGCTGCAGCACTTACAGGGGCAGTGACCAAGCTGCCTCTTCCCAAGAAGACTGCTTGAGTACTGGATTGGAAACATTGCGACAGGCTTTTGGGTTCCGAATACTGGGCTGTTTTCATCTGGGTCAGAGCGAGATGGTTGTTGTTTGATTTGCTTGATACGTCTCTTGTCCCTTCCTCAGGATGCCTTGCTGTTTTAATAATACTTAACTTAATATTATTGGAAAATACTAAGTATTCTGTTCTCTACTTTAATAGCCTATGGGGCCACTCTGATTGAACACTGTCTTAGAGAAAATGGATTTTTTGGCAATGTCAGAGTAGATGAGAAATTTGAAACTAGAGGTATGTATGTTACAAGTTTAAACAATCACTTTTGTTTATTTTGCCTCTTTCTGGTTGGCTTATGTTAGTTTAAAATTATGAACAATTACTGTTTCTAGAAAGTAATAAATAAATGATATCCATGTGTGTATATGTGTGTTTATATATGTGTGTGTGTGTGTGTGTGTGTGTGTGTATGCATATACACACACATACATATACATATGCACATATATATATTCCCCTTCCCTTCTCTTTCCTCTTCCATCATCCTACATTACTGAGTTTACTACCCATTTGCCATTGGAGCTCTGTTAATGCTTGTGCTGTTGTCACTGCCACCAGTAGTATGATAGCCTGCCTTCCTTTCCTCACAGAACACCCTCTCCCTCTGACACTGGAGCCATCACTGTGGGAACTGGGGGAGTAGCATTCTTGATGTTGAGCGGAAATAATGTGTTTTGGGCATCTAGAGTTAGAACTTTGACTTTATTTTCCCAAAGAAATAATCTTGCAAATTTATTATGTTCCATAGTACTATCATTATTACAGTTCTGGTACATTATGGATTAAAAGGAATTTTGTAGATGAGGCTTGGAATTTTACTACCATTCTTTCTGATAATTAAAATGTTAAGATGTTTTTGATGTGCTGAAGTAGAGATCATGTTTTTTTCCTTTAACTGCTTTACTGACAGGATGGTAAATGGGGGTTTTTTCCCTAAAGAGAGTTTTAACTGTTGCTTATATTTTCAGTTGCCTTAGCCATAATGTTCTCAAAGCTAGTAGGTTGAACAAGATATAATTTCTTCTGGTGTTAAAAAATAAAAATAAAGGAAGACTCAAAAATATGTTGCTAGCTCTTACAAACAAAATTTCTTCTTTCCCACAATAGATATTGAAAAAGTACTTGTTTGTCTGCAGAAAGCAGAAGATTATATGAAAACAATGTCCAACTTCAATGGAAAGGTAGAACATTACTTAAGCTGTAGTTTTATTCCTTTAGAAACTTGAGAGTTGAAATATAACTTATAGAACCTAGTATGTATAAGTTTTGTCGTCTTGTTATCTGGAATATTGACTTTTGTATAATGTGAGGATTCTGGATTTTACTATTCTTTACCTTTTAAGTTATGAGATGAAATGGAGCATATTAAACTAACTACGGAAGTGTAGCTAGGTGGCACAGTGGCTAAAGCACTGGGTGTGGAATCAGGGAGACCTATCTTCCTGAGCTCAGATCTGTCCTCAGACACTTACTAGCTGTGGCAAATCACTTAACTACATTTGCGTCAGCTTCCTCACTTGTAAAATGAGATGGAGAAGGAAATGGCAAACCACTCCAGTATTCTTGCCAAGAAAATTCCAAATGGGGTCACAAAGAGTCGAAAATGACTGAACAGCAAGAAAAGTGGGATAATTAGAATAATTTAAGGGATCTTTTCTTGGGACTAGATTTGAGGAATAAGTTTTAATTTGTTAGAATTTTAAAAGGCTTTGGCCATGTAGCTTCCACTAGTAGATTGGTTGCCATGTATTTGAAAAAATCACTGGGCTGGAAATCAGAACATTAGGTTATATTATTAGATCTGCACTAGCTAGTTGTTTCACCTTGGCAGGTTGTTTTACATTTCTGCCTTAGTTTTTTAATTTGAAAAACAAAGGGATTGCTTCTCAGTGGAGGAGTAGGGAGTGGGGAGGGAGAAAGGGAGAGAATTTGGAACTCAAAGTTTTGAAAATGAGTGTTAAAAATTGTTTTTTAACATGTAACTGGGAAAAAATAAAATACCAAAAAAAAAAAGAAAGAAAGAAATGTAAGATGTGGAAACCATCCTTTTATGGAATGAACCTGTTTCATCCATGTTAAAAAAAAAAAAGGGACTGGATTAGTCCCTTCTTTGTTTGTGTGCCCTAATTTTCTGTGAATCACCTCATGGCTTGTCAGTTTATTCTTTACTGTTTCCTACCCCTTTGGTACAGCCCTGCCCCACCCCCCAAAAAAAGCCAACAACAAATTCAGACCAAATTATGTTTGTAAGTGAAAGTATAAAATGGAATTTTTCATCCTGGTAAATTTTTAATTTGTATGCTTGATTTCCTTAGGGTTATATCATTCAGAAAAAAGAGAAAAAACCAAGCCTGGAGCCAGATAAGCAATCTGAAGATATATTCACGTAGGTATTTAAAGATTAGCTTACATGGGTGAATTAATATAAAATATTATTTTTAATTATGTTATTGATTTATTTTACAGATATGAAGAGTTTCATCCTTTCTTATTTTCTCAGCATTCCAGTTCTCCATATATAAAATTTGAATCATTTGACAAGGTGGGTTTTCTGGTAATCTGTCTTGTTAGCCAATCTAGGTGAATATATGAATTTTCTCCAATTGTGAGATGTAACAATGTATTGAATGATAATTATTGATAGGTCTGTGAAATGTAGGCAGCACTGCAGTATGATCATAGACTATATATCCACTTATATTTATTTACTATTTTATTTAAAGATGGTGGGCTGAACCAAAAATTGAAGGCTCTATTAATAGTAAAATTGGTCTAGATCAGTTAATTTCTTAGAGAATTATCATGGAACAGACAGACAAAAGTGAAATACTTTGTGGTAAAATTTACTGCTTTATTCAAGAATATACCTTAAGTGGTTATTAATTCAGAGACCTCTTATGGAGTTTACAGTGTTTTACCAAATTCACTGTTGGTTTTTTTTTAAACTTTTGTTCATTTGCTGCCTGGCTTATTGATGCGATTGCAGTTTGAGATTATTAAATTACAAAGTAATTAACGAATGTTAGTATTTATGCTTTTAGGAGAAGTAAATTTAGCATGTTTTTTCATTATGAGTTTGAATGTGATACAACTGTATTTTCACAGTTTAGTACTGTACACTGGTGGACATAGGACCCATTTCATTCTTTTTCATTCAGTGATAACATTTTTAAGACTTTTATGTGTTATGTGTTGTGTTTTTTTTTTAATTAAGGCAGTGGATGAATTTTATTCTAAGCTAGAAGGCCAGAAGATAGACTTGAAAGCTTTACAACAGGTATATTTATATTTAAAAACATGCTGAATCTGTATTTAACAATGGATAATATTTTGATTTGATTATTAAATGATTCTCTTTCTGGGATGCCCTTTCAGAAGTTAGTTGCCAATTTATTGACCTCTACTATGGAAACCAGAAAATATTCACGTGTTTCAGGAAAGGCTCAAATCCTCCTATTGAAAAATATCTTCCAACATTCTTGCAGTTAGACAACATCCTCTTTTAAAAATCAAATACTCCAAGAAGAATTAATCTTATTGTCATGTTTTAATATCATATATAATTTAGTGTAAACAATATGTATGATTGTATTTCTGTGACCCTTGGAGCTTAGAACTTCCTTTGAGGGAATGGAAGTTTTGACAGGGTGACAGCAGGAGGGAGATTTTTGGATTAATTGAATAATTTTGTAATTCAAGGAAGGCTAGGCCCAGGTCCAGTGCCACAATGTAGGCATTGGACAGCTTCAAGGCAATTAGAGTTAGGAAAGGCTGGGGACAATAAGTGATGGTAAGTGGATGGTGAAGAAAAAGTATTTATTTCCCTTTATTTTTCAATTTTACTAATTTTTGCCAAAAAAACAAACCCCTGGATGCTTCTGGAATGCGCAGATTTTTAGATTGTTAATGTGAGCTATATTTATTAGAAGTAGATAGTGAGGAATACATAATAGATTGGAAAAATAAACATAGTAAGAAAATATATTTTACTTTCTTTTTAATTATGAAAATAAGTTTGGTTTCTAAATATTGTGGCCTAAATGATTTTCTTGTTTTATATGATAATATTCTAATTTCTAAGAAAATGGATTTATGCAAGTGTTTAATCATAAAAAATTAATTATTTAATCTTGGGTAGAAGAAGAAATTGTATACTGTATATATGTAAATAATAAAATCTATGTTGTTCTATACTTTCAAGAATGAAAAGCATCAATTTGACAGTCCTTCAGCATCCCTTTTTATTTTTCGTGTATAATATCTAGCATGAAGAGATGAAAAATAATAGTTTAATAAGATCCCATTAAATTTTCTTTAATTGCACTGAATCAGTGTTTATTTTTAACATATATTTTCCTCTGAGTTAAAATTCAATTTAATGTCTACCCAGATGTGTATTTCTAATATCCTTTGATCTGTTTTGCTGATGAAAGGAAAAACAGGCATTGAAGAAACTGGATAATGTCCGAAAGGATCATGAGCACAGATTAGAAGCCCTTCACCAAGCCCAGGTATTAAGTTTTATATTTCACTCAAATGCTTCTTTTCAAAGGGTACGTTTAATTGGTATAGTAGTAATTATTTTTCTTTGTTTCTTAAGGAAATTGATAAAATCAAAGGAGAACTCATAGAAATGAATCTACAAATAGTTGATAGAGCCATCCAAGTGGTTCGGAGTGCTTTAGCCAACCAGATAGACTGGACGGAAATTGGGTTAATTGTAAAAGAAGCCCAAGCTCAGGGAGATACTGTTGCAAATGCAATCAGAGAATTGAAGCTGCAAACCAATCATGTCACAATGTTACTAAAGTAAGTATTATGAAGTACGATAATGAGAAAAATTGCTGCTGTTACCTATTTTTGATCATCTTTAACCTGAATAACTTTTTTCCTCCTTTTTTTCCTGGTGTATTCATTTCTCTATCTGCTTTTGTTTGTAATTTGAGAACCTAAATTAGGGGCACTCACTGCAGCAGTTTGAGTAAGAACTACCTGGATTTGAGGAATTTGAAAATGAGTTGAAGCTTTTATCAGTTTCTCTTACACTCATAGCAGTTTTTTCATTTGATAATTTGAGCATTCATTTGATAATTTGAGCATTCTTATTAAGGAGGGAAAAAGGAAATTCATGCACAGTACTCACTGTCAAAAGGAAATTCATTCTTTTTTTTCAAGCTTTTGTTATTTCTCTCTCTAAGTGTGCCTTCACCCTCATTGAATAATTTTAGGAAAAAAAGCCTTATAGCAAATAAGTCCAGCAAAATTAATCCTATGTTGGCCATGTCCAAAAAATGTATGGCTCATTTTACATAGTTCATTGCTTTTGTGGTAGGACATGAGCAGTATGTTTCATCTTCATTCGTTTGGATTTGTGGTTTATCATTATATTGATCAGAGCTCTACAGTCTTTGAAAGTTTTTTCTCTGTAATATTGTTTTTATATAATTTGTTCATCTAGTTCTGCTCGTTTCACTCTGTATCGGTTCATAGAGATATTCTCAGTTTGCTCTGAAACTATTTTGACATTTCTTATGGTATAAAAAGGATACCCCAAAAGTCTTAAGTTTACTAAGACTTTTGGTTAATAGCTGAAAACTGTGCTAAAACTTTTGGGATACTCCATATCCTTTTACATTCATAAACCACTATTATTAGTCATTCCCTGAAAGGAGGACAACCTGTAGTTTACAGTTTGGGGCTACTATGAAAAATGCTATAAATGTTTTTGCACATATAGTTCCCTTTTCTCTAGTAGGGACTAGTGGTGGTATGGCTGAGTCAAAAAATGTGCAGTTTAGTAACTTTCTGGATATAGATACAAATTGCTTTCTACAGTGGCTGAACCAGTTCACAGGTCCACCAACAATGCACAAGTATGCCTACAACACCAAAGGAAATTTATAAAGCATATTTTTTAAAGCTGACTGGAAATAGGAGTCAGGTACTCTAGGCCTATAAATCTGTGTCCAGATTGGGGCAGTGGTGTGACAGTTTCCCAAATTAGAGTGGTGTAGCAATTCAAAGATGACTTCCTAGCTTTCCCTGTTTGTATAGGAAAAATCCCATGTCTTTCCAGATTTATGCTTTGGAGTCACTGAGGGAAATGAATATGTCAGAGCAAAATGTTCCTTGACTTACTCAAGGTTAACCAAGGGGCTGACTGGACTGAGATGGACACTTACTTATGAAGTTATTATTGAAAAAAGAAAAGGAAGCCTTCTCAGCTAGTTTTAGGGGTGGAAGCAAAAAGCAAGAGATATTTAACATTTATGGGCAACATGGCAATTACCTGGCAAGTGTAAGGAGCATGGCTTTCAAAAGAAGAATCAGAGATCTTTGACATACAGGTACTTTGGTGTTTTATCTTAGGATTGTACATGTGAAATGGAAACTCAGACTTCATGAAGAAGGAGGAATAAACTTTCAATATACAGATCCTAACAAGATTTTTGCTTATATTTATTAATATATTGATGCATTTACATTTCTCAGAGTGAGGAAGGAACACTTGGAGTTACAGGTTATAGGATGCTAGCTGTTTCATTGGATAAATCACTGAACCTGAAGTCAGGAAGACCCAAGTTAAAATCCAGACTCAGACATTTGTTAGTTGTGTGACGCTGGGCAAGTCATTTAACCTCTGTCTGTCTCAGTTTCCTCATCTGAAAAATGGAGATAATGATAGCATTTAACTTCCAGGGTTGTTGTGAGGATGAAATGAGATGATATTTGACCCTGCCACAAAACTTACACTGTTGTAAGAAATTCATTGTATCTCACATTTACACAGAGGTTTGGAGTTCTTTTAAGGTTCTAAAAACTAAGTATCACGTAGTATTTATAATTGGAATAAGAATAAAAGAATATTATCTCAAACTTGAAAAACTAATGCAGTTTTGAAATGATGTGTAATTTCAATAGAAACCCATACCTAGTATCAGATGAGGAAGAGGAAGAAGATGAAACTAACATTGAGAAAGAAGAAACAGAAGAACCAAAAGGGAAAAAAAAAAAGCAGAACAAACAGCTTCAGAAACTTCAGAAAAATAAGCCATTACTTGTTGATGTCGATCTCAGTTTGTCAGCATACGCCAATGCCAAAAAGTAAGACTATTTACTACAAAAAGAGGTTTTAGAAGGCATTTTTAGTATGTAAAACTTTTCTTGTGAATTCTTAAATAATGAGATAATATCAGAGATATTTGGGAAGTATGTTTCCTGTTTTGAACATTCATTTCAGCCAAGGTACTTGTTTATTTGCTTAATTATTATCTCATGTGATAGATGATCAAATTGAGTGTCCACAGAGAAAGGTTCATGAAGCATAAAGGATAAAAGTCTTGGGATTTGAATTTTGAGATACATTTATATTATTGCAGGTATTATGATCATAAGAGACATGCTGCCAGGAAAACACAGAAAACAGTTGAAGCTGCTGAGAAGGTAATGAATATTTCTCAGACTCTGTTCATTTTTTCCCCTCTCGGATACTTTAGGGGCCTTACTAAATTCCTGCTTCCCTTCTCTTCCCTGTATCTTTTCTATGCACTTTTATACGTGTAGACATGGTATAGTTGAAAGAGCACTGCAAGTCAGGAGACCTGGATTGTGGTCCTAGATTGGAGACCTATTAGTTGGATGACTCTGGGTAAATTAATTTATTTCTCAAGATCCCAGTTTCCTTTTCTACAAAATAAGGTAGTAAGAATAGGTCTGCATAGTCCCTTGCAGCTTTAAAATTCTCTGATTCTCTGATTATAAGTTTCTTTCATTATTTTTTTTTATAATTAGCTTTTTTTTTGGTAACTTGTTCCTTCTAAAATGGTTTTCTTCATTCATAGGCATTCAAATCAGCAGAAAAGAAAACAAAGCAAACACTCAAAGAAGTTCAGATGGTTACCACCATTCAGAAAGCAAGAAAAGTGTATTGGTGAGTGAATTTATTTTGCATTTCTTAACTTTTCCACTCATTTGGAGAATCATTTGCCACCAAATGAAGGAATTAAAATGATATAAGAAACCAGTGAATTTTTTCCCTTCTTTTAAAACTCCGTGGGTGGATAGAGCACTGGCCCTGAAGTCAGGAGGCCCTGAGTTCAAATCCGGCCTCAGACTAAACACTTGACACTTACTAGCTGTGTGACCCTGGGCAAGTCACTTAACCCCAATTGCCTAAAAGCAAACAAAGAACAAAACTCCTTGGACTCAGGCAATCCTCATTCCCATTGTGAGTGGTCCTAATTTACCATTTCAGTTTTGAATGACTCTAAATTTTAGGAAGTTTTACCTTGTATTAAATAGAGATCTGCTTCTTCTACTCATTGTTCCTAATTCTGTCCTCTTGGGGCCCAGGGGAAAAAAAAAGTCTGATAGCATTAATTGGGTGTTCTACAGGGAGAATTCTTTTCTGTACGGGTTAGATTAGGTGGCTGCTGAGGTCCCTTTCAGCTCTCACATTGTGTGAAGTGGTAATCTCTCTTCTAGTTGAAGATGCCATATTCCATTCCCTCTAACACACCTAGATCCTCTAATTGATCCTTCTGTGGCATGATTTTTAGGCCTCTCATATCTTGATCTCCTTTCTCTGGGCAGACCCCAATTTGTCTGTGTTTTCTTACATGGTACCTAGAATGGAAGTACAGTACAGTGAAAAGAGCAGTGGATTTGAGTCAGTGACTTACATTAAACCCCACCTCTGACACAACCTCTGTGGCATTGGGCACATTATTTAACCACCTTGTTTCTCACTTTCTTCATCTGTCAAGTAAGGTTGGACTGCAGAGAGTAGGGAAGCAGGACTAGAAAATTGTTCTTGTGGAGAATACCTGGGAATTTTCAGTGGACCAAAATGTGAATATATCATGGCAGCCAAAAAAATTGATGTTGCCATTGGGTTTCATTGAGAAGCACACCCAGCATACAGAATGGAGAAAGTAAGAAAGAGGTGCCCTCAACTCCTACCTTGTCAGACCTCACCTGAGGAGGAGGTAGATTGAGAGCCAGAAGGACCCGTGTAGTCACTCCATCAGAGATGCTTAACCTGGAGTTCATGAACTTGGACTTTTTACATTTACATACACACATACACACACAATTGTATTTCAGTATAATTTTTTTTTATAACAGTGTATTTTATTTTATTCTCTTAAGCATTATTCTGAAAAGAGGTCCATTGACTTTACCACACTGTCAAGAGGGGACAAAAACACAGAAAAGGGCACCTACCCTGAAGCTCTAAATCAATGATCCTTTTATCCTGACCAGGGAGGAGGAGAGGGGAACTGTCTACTTCCCTCATTTTGCGTACCCTGTGTGCTGCCTCTCTGAAGCCTTGGGCAACATTAGTGTTTGTTTACTGCCTTGACTCATATTGAGTTTTTAGTCTACTGAAACTTCTAGAACTTTTCCACAGAAACTGTTTCCTAGCCCTGCCTTCCCTGCTCTATGAAGTCAGTTTGTCCAAATGTAGAACTTAATATTTGTGTCTATTTTAGGAAATCTGATTTGGGTTTGACCCTTCTAGTTTGCTGAGATCTTTCTAGGTCAGGATTTTGCTGTCTATTGTGTTAGCTGTTTCTTCCTAGCTTTCTATCTTCTGTATATTTGAGAAGCATGTCATCTATGCCTTCATCTAGACAACTGATGAAAATGATAGCACAAGGCTAGGGAGGGATCGTAGGCTCACTCGAATAATCAACTCCTTTCAAGTTGACATCATACCATTGATTTCTACTCTATGTGTCTAGTAATTAACATTGTTATTCAGAGTTAGAGAATGTTTTTCTTAAGTAGTTCACAAGATGTCATAAAAACAATAACTTTGTGAAAAACAATAAAGAGTCAACATATCAGAATTTCTGGAATGTAGCTAAAGTAGTCTTCCGAAGAAAAATTATATCCCCAAAGTATCCATTAACAAAATAGAAAAAGAATTAGTGAATGGAATATACAATTTGAAAAGTTAGAAATCAAGAAACAAAACTGAAATAAGCCCAAAAGAGCAAAACTATGAAAATTAGAGTAGTACATACTGATAGCTAACATTTATGTGGTATTTTAATTTGAAAGGTTTGTAAAACATTTTATACACGTGGTCTCATTTTGATCCCCATAACAGCCATGTGAGGTAGCTGCTATTTTTATCTCCACTTTGCAGATGAGAAACCTGAAGCTCAGGAAAATTAAGTGAATGGACTGTGATTATAGAGTTAATAATTGGAAACTGAAAGGCCTGTAAAACTGATTTAAAAGAAAACAAACCTAAAAGCTGATTCTTTGAAATGAGTAACATTATTGATAAATCTGATTAAATCTGATTAAAGAGCTGAAAAGAGGAAAATTAACAAAATAAAAAATGAACAAGGTGTAATCAACCTAAAATAAAGACAGTATTATTTTGTCCTCTTTGCACTTTTCAGTCTATTGTTTGTAAAGATGTGGGTTACTAGAGTATTTTTTGCTAAAGCCTGTCTGTGCTCTTCTAACACCTTCAAGAATGTCCTCAATAAATGTATGTATTAGCCTCATAAAGATTTTTAAGGCTGGGTAAATAGGGGTGTTGGTCAGTAGTTACCGATATTGTTTTTAAATTTTCATTTCCGTTAAAAACCACTTATTTTCTCGCCCATCTCCCTCCTCCTAATTGAAAAAAAGCAAAACCCAACTGCTGGAACAAAATATGCATAGTCAAGCAAAGCACATTCCCACATTGGCTCTGTCTAGAAGTGTATGTCTCATTCTGCATCTTGAAAGTCCTTCACCTTTCTTGTGGGTAGCATGCTTCATCAGTTTTATGGAATCTAGTTATTTGTTGCATTGATCAGAGTTCTTAAATCTTTCAAAGTTGTTTGCCTTTATTCTGTTATCACTATTGCATAATTATTCTCCTGGTTCTGCTTACTTTACTTTCTGGTTGTTCGTACTAGTTTTCCCAGCTTTCTCTTCTGAAATTGTCTTTCTAATAATTTCTTACAACATAATAGTATTCTGTAACATTCTTAGACGTTTGTTCAGCCATTCCCCAATTGATGGACGCTCCTTCCTTCTTTATTTCCAGTCCTATGCCCCTACAAAAAGAATTGCTATAAACACTTTTGTACACATATGTATTTTTCCTTATTTTTCGATTTGTTAGTGATGTTGTTGGGTCAAAGGATATACACTATTTGGTGACTTTGGAGGTGTAACTAAACATTTTTTCAAAATGATTTGACCAATTCACATTTCCATCAGGATTGATATTTTTCTAAATCACCTTTTTGGGGGTTGGAGGGGTGTTTAGTAGTGTCCATAATTTTGCCAAGCTTCAGAATAAAAAAAAATCAGTTATTCCAGCTCCTCAATGAAAGATTGATATTTATATTTTATAGGTCTTCCGAGCAGTGCTCACGAAATCTTTTTTGAACTGAACAGTCACTTAGCAAATTACAGTAAATAACTATAGAAGCAGCTTTTTGCTTTCTATATCATTAATCATTTTTCTTCTTCTTTGACTTTGATTGGATTTACCTTTAAAGGGTAAGAGAATAATTCTTTGTATATTCTCTATTGAAATTGCTAGTTTAGGACAGGATAAAAAGATTTGTTATGTAGATTTTAGGCAGGGTATAAAAATGATCACATGAGACCATCAACTAGTTTTTTTTGTTTGTTTTCAAGTTAAACTTTTGGGTCTTCATGATGAAAATTATTTTGAAAAGGAGATTCAAGCAACTTGGGAATTTTAAAGATCTGTTGTTGAATTGTTTGTCAGTGGTGTCTGACTCTTTATGACCCCAGTTGAGGTTTTGTTGGCAAAGATACTTGAGTGTTTTGCCATGTCCTTCTCCAGCTCATTTTACAGATGAGAAAACTGAGGCAAACAGGGTTAAGTGACTTGGCCAGGACCATACAGGCAATGTTTGAGCCCAGGAAGATGAGTCTTTCTGATTCCAGGCTCAGCATGCTATCTACTGTACTGCCTCGTTACCCAAAGATCTTATAGGGGAAGAGAAAAAAAACCATGTGCTAGCTAATTTTTTTTTCCTGATTTGACAGGTTTGAGAAGTTTTTATGGTTTATTAGCTCTGAGAACTATCTCATACTAGGTGGAAGAGATCAACAACAAAATGAAATGATTGTGAAGAGATATTTGACCCCAGGTTTGTAAAATCCCATGTTAAAGTTTTGAAGTTTTTTTTTAAATGCACAGACTAGGTATCTTGACCATAAAAGTATTTTTCTTCATCTTATATTCTTTTAAATATCATATTGGCAAAAACAAAACACCTTATAGGATTTAAAGTGTATCTAGTCTAACCCTGTCGTGAGGAAAACTGAGGCCAGTAGAGGTTAAATGACTTGTTCAGGGTATTTTTGATACCAGGTAACAAAAGCTGGGATAATCTGGACCTTATAGAATTGTTCCACAACGAATTGCACTGACTTGTGGAACATCTGAATTCTTCTGTATTAGCAAAATCAATTTCAGTCTAACAAAGTCCTTACAATCTGGTTGCCAGTGGCCTACTTGTTGAGATTTATTCTAATGAGTTTCCTGAAGGAAAAAATCATGATTTTGTTCAGTTTTTCAGTGCTGAAATTTGGAGCAGTCTCTTTATACTTAGAACTTATGTGCATTGTGACAGATCTTCCTTTTTGATTTTTTTTGAAGGGGATCTTTACGTTCATGCTGATCTTCATGGTGCAACAAGCTGTGTAATTAAGAATCCAACGGGTAACACTTTAGATCTCTTTTAAGAAGATAAATGCTAATTCTGAGTTATAGAAGTTTCATATAATAAAGAAGATATTATTCTATTCTGCTTTTCATTTCTTCTGTGCCTTGGAAAAGCTAAGCTCTGCATTCTCCAGGACCAAGCATCATGCATCCTCAACTTCACCTGTATCATTTTCTGCCCTGCCAGGCTTGCCACTGTTGTCCACCATCCAGACAGGACTATCAGAAGCCATGCCTGGGTGGAGCCAACCAACTCTGCTTTGCCCTCTCTGGGACCGTGTACACTTATTTTGACAAAAGCCATTTTTGGCCCTACTCTGCATACATTCTCCTGTCTCCTTACCCTCTTTCCAGCTTTCCACCTCATACTCTGAGAAGTGAAATCAAGTTACCACTACCATTGCCTTTGAAAAAGGTGTATTAATCGACTGCCCTTTTGTTCCACTCCCTATCTTTGTGACTTTTTAGACTATAACTCCCTTCCCTAACCACTTCTTCCATATATGTATTGTCTTTTCCACGTAAACTCCTTAAAGGCAGGGACTATGTAATTTTTTGTATTCATATCTTCAATGCTTAGCATATATTATGCATTTGGTAAATACTTTTCATTCATTCATTAATGCTCTTTCTTTTTATTTTGATGAATCTAGAATTTTCCCCATTAACATTTCTAAGTCTTAAGGCTTAGAAAAAGTATAGAAATTATGATTTTATTTTTTCAGATTAATTTCCAGAATTAAATTGAAGTTACCATGTGTGACATGAGAACATGTTGCTATATGACTAGTTATACAGAGGTGTCAATTTTAAATAGACATTTTATTTTTATAATTTAAAATTTTTTTAACTTTAACACTGAAAAAATGCATTTTTATATACACAGTAGAACAAAAAAGGAGAAGATGAATCTCTATTTCATAGCACTTATTTTTGTTTAAAGTATTACTTTGACATATAACTTTCAAAGTTGTACTACTTTCTGTGCTTCCTTCTGGACTATATTCTGTTCTGCGCATTTTTTAAAAATGTTTCAATATCCTTTTTGTTTCTGGCATCAATATTTTTATCTCGCATTCTGCCCCCCCATCTCCAATTAAAGGCCACTGTTTTAAAGCCCACAGTAGATGAATGTTTTAATTGCAATAAGATTAACATTTTGAGATATATAAATAGAAATGTCATTAATGTTCATGTTCTTATTTAGTACTTAGGGTATATTTCACAAGAAGTGGGTTGCTTTTATTATCCTAGTATCTGAAAAAAATGCAGTTAGCTAGCTCAACAGTTGTGACATTATTGTTGTAGGAGAACCAGTCCCGCCACGGACTTTGACAGAAGCTGGCACAATGGCATTGTGTTACAGTGCTGCTTGGGATGCTCGAGTTATTACCAGTGCTTGGTGGGTGTATCATCATCAGGTAATGGGAGCTTGTGCTTTTCCTTAAAAGTAAAAATTAGTATATGCAAGTAATATGTAAATAAGTATGTAAAAAACCAAAACTAAATTCTGGGAGACTAATACTGAAAAATAGAATACCTAAATTATTGGGCATCATCACAATCCATTTCTTACAGGATAGAGTCATTCTTGACATTATAGAATCAAAGTTAATACCTTTTATTTGATCATATTTTATGCATACTCTCACAGTTGGGACAGCTAAATGGTACAGTGGATAGAGAGCTAGACTTGTAGACAGGAAGATCTAAGTTCAAATGCCATCTCAAGACATTTACTAGCTGTGTGCACCTGACAAAGTCATTTAATCTCTTAGCCTCAGTTTTCCTTTTCTATAAAATTGTAACGTCAATAGCACCTACCTTACAGGGTTGTTGTATAAATTAAATGAGGTAATATTTGTAAAGTACTTGGTGAACCATAAAGCATTATATGCAATTGCCTAAAAATATACAATAAACATCAAATATTTAAAAATCATTAGGGGGAGTATACATATACAGTATATAACATATATATACATATACACCCCCCCAATGACGTGTATGTGGTATATATTATATGAGTCATTCCCCGTATGTATTTGTGCATGTATGTAGTATATATTATATGAGTCATTCCCTAATTGATAAATGGTCAAAGGATATGGACATGTAGTTTTCTGATGAAGACATCAAGACAATTTGTGATTATATGAAAAAATGCTCTAAATCATTATTGATTAGAGAAGTGCAAATTAAAACAACCTTGAGGTATCATTTTACATCAGATTGGCTAAAATGATTGAAGGGGAAAGTGACAAACGTTGGAAGAGATGTGGAAACATTGGGACGCTAATTCACTGTTGGTATGCCAGTTGGTGGAACTGTGAACTGATCCAATCATTTCAGAGAGCAATCTGGAATTATGCTCTAGGAGTTATTAAACTGCCTATACCCTTTAACCCAGCAATACCAGTACTAAGTCTGTTTCCAAAGATGATTAGAGAAGAAGGAAAAGAATCCTTGTGTTCTAAAATATTTATAGCAGCTCTCTTTGTGGTGGCAAAGAATTGGAAATTGTAGGGATGCCTGTAATTGGGGAAGGCTGAACAAGTTGTGGTATATGATTGTGTTGGAATACTACTGTGCTATAAGAAATTATGAGTATGGGCTTGTACAAAGTAATGAAGAGGGAAATGAGCAGAACCAAGAGAACATTGTATACAGTAACAGCAATATTGTTTTAAGAACAACATTGAATGACTAAGTCATTTTGACTGTTGTAAATACCCACATTAACTACAAAGGACCTATGAAGGATGACACTGGCTGCATCCAGAGAAAGAACTGATAAATACAAGTATGTATAGAATGATTTTACATGTGTATGTGTACACAGATGCACATATATACACATATATAATATATGCATACACATATCTGTGTCTGATGGTAGCCATCGTTAGGGTGGGGGGGGCAGGGAGGGAGGGAAGGAAAAAAAGGGGAAAAAAGAAAGTTACATGATTACTTTATTATATATTTAAAAGGGACAGAAATTTTTACGTAATGTATTTGCAGATTTATGTGCAGCCTTTTTTTCCTATTCTGCTGTGTTATGGAAATGCTTGTCTTAATTTCTTAAGTTCAGAATAAAATAAATAATTTTTAAAAGGCATAAAAGATGTTACTAAGTACATGTATGTCTAAACCTGCCTCAAATTTTACATCTGACACTGTGTTCCCAATGGGCAAATCATTTAAGCTCTTGTGGCCTCAGACAACCATCTGAGACTATACCTTATGGATGTATGACTGATGAAATAAAAGATTCTTGACACGTTTTTTAAAAAAAGAATCATTAGGGGTAGGTGGAAGGAAAGAGAATAAACATTTATATTGTGCCTACTGTGTACCAGGCACTGTACTACATTTAACAAATATTATCTCCTTCGATCCTCACAACAACCCTGTAAGGTAGGTGCTATTATTTTCTCCATTTTGCAGTTGAGGAACTTTAGGCAAACAAATTAACTGATTTGCCCAGAGTCACACAGCTAATGATGTCTGAGACCAAATTTGACTCGGGTCTTATTGGCTTCAGGATCAGCACAATATCCAGGGTACCACCCACCAGCTGCCTCAAATGCCGTCATTAATGATGCTCTAAATACTTTTGTGAAATACCTGAAAAGGAGTGACTGACAATTATTAACATTGCTATGTACTGTATATACTGTATATGTATACTCCCCCTAATGATTTTTAAATATTTGATGTTTATTGTATATTTTTAGGCAATTGCATATAATGCTTTATGGTTCACCAAGTACTTTACAAATATTACCTCATTTAATTTATACAACAACCCTGTAAGGTAGGTGCTATTGACGTTACAATTTTATAGAAAAGGAAAACTGAGGCTAAGAGATTAAATGACTTTGTCAGGTGCACACAGCTAGTAATGTTAACAATTATTAATATTGCTCCCTTCAACTAGGTTGTAATGTAGCCATTTTAATTATTGTAAACTCTGTATTGTCATATGCCAGTTACAGAAAATTAATTCCATGTTAGAATATTCAAGTTTTCTACCTCAACCATTACGGTTTTATAATTATTTATTTTTTGCACTAAATTTCTAGTTCATTCATTTTTATAGAGAATTATTCTTAACAGCCTAAGATTTAGAAAATCTTCTCTTCTTTCCTTCTTCCTTTCTCTCCTATGCACGTTCAGCCACCGAATGACAATCTCTTTTAGTGTTCAGTGTTTTTGATAACTTAACTAAAAGTAAAATTAAAAATAAAGTTCTTAAGTTGAAACTGGCACAATCAATAGAACACTGGACTTGGAATCAGGAAGACCAGAGATTAAATCTGGCCCCAGTCACTTAGCAGCTATGTGATCCTGGAAAGTCACTTAATCTCTGTCTGCCTCAGTTTTCTCAATTGTAAAATGAGGACAAGAGTAGTACTCAGCACAGGGTTGTTGTAAGGATCAAATGAGATAATAATAAAAGGCTTAGCGCAGTGACTGGCACATAGTATGTGTCTAATAAATGCTTGTTCCCATCCACTCACCTTCAAGGTTAAGTTTTTCATTCAGTCATTCAATCATTTTCATGTTAGTTGAATTTAATGTTACTTTTCAGGTGTCTAAAACAGCACCAACTGGAGAATATTTGACAACAGGAAGTTTCATGATAAGAGGTAAGGACTTAATGCTGTCAGTCTCCTCATTTCCACTTATGGGTTATGGAGAGTATATGTGTTTTAGGAATCTGTTTGATGGTATTTCAGTAGCATTGAGTAGGGACTGAATGCAGTTGTATTTTTTATGACCTTTATGGTAAATGGGCAGAGTTTGACACTTTTAGGGGAAGATTTACTGTCTTCAAATCTGTTTATGATTTTATGTGGTCCAATTGGTCCAATGTGGCTATGAGGCATAAAGTTACAATAGAAGACACTGATGAAAGCACATTTCATTGTTTTAAGATGTGACAAAAAACTGAGGACAACCATGTACTTCTACTGCCCCACTGTCTGTTCATTATACATAATATAGAAATCTTGAATAGCATATATTTCAGCATAATTTGTCATGTAGTGAAATATGTGAAGCCACTAATGTGTATTTTGTAAACGTAGGACATAGAAACTTTTTATAAACAGAGATGTACATTATCTTTTTTAGGAAAAAAGAATTTTCTTCCTCCCTCATACCTTATGATGGGGTTTAGTTTCCTGTTTAAGGTACTCTTCATTTCCCTAGTTATTTTTTCTTTTCTTATATTTCCCTAGAAACTTAGACAAAAATCACTTAAGTGAACATTGATTCTCTAGGTAGATGAACCATGTGTTTGGAGACATCGAGGGGAACGAAAAGTCAGAATTCAAGATGAAGACTTGGAGACAGTGGCCAGCAGCACTAGTAAGCTAGTTTCAGAAGAAATGGAGGCACTAGGTATTTCATGGGTTTTATCAAATTTGATAAGTAGTGGTTGTTAATAAATGTCTAAAAATGTATTTTAGTTAAAAGAATAAATTTCATTTAGGATAATTTGAACAAATATTTATTTTATTGTCCTAGATTGTTAACTATTCTGAATTTTGGTTTCCTTTTGTTGTTGTAGCCTCAGTACCTTGCACATGGGAGGCACTTAATGTTTGTCATTCTCAAACTAGAAACTGTTTGCTTCAGACTATAACTAAAGCTAATATTTATAGTGGATTTTATCTTCCACTAAAATAGTAAAAAATAATTTGAGCAAATGTGGAATTAAAGATTTCACAAAGATAATTTAGCAATATGTAAAATTAGTACTTAACTTTGTGCCTAAGAATTATAAATGATGCACAGATGAATTTACAGTAAGTATAGTTCGTTATTATAGAGTCTGTGTTGTAAAGTGGATGGAGTACTGGGTTTAGAGTCAGGAAGACTTTTGTTCAAATTCCATCTCTGACAGTTACTGGTTTTGCTATCCTGGGTAAGTTCCTTTACCTCTATAGGCCACCAGCCACTCCATGGGACTTTTGTACTAAGTCATACATAGGTGAATCGTGATCTGCATTGGTAGAGAACTCATATTCTTAAGTTTCCTATGTTGAGGAAATTGCGTATCCTTTTAGCTTGTCATTTGAGATTTTGACTTGATTTATTTGCCCCAAATTAAGTGGTATTGTGTATATTAAAACAAATTAGCATAATTCTCTTTAGATAAGATTTGTATGGGAAATGTGCAAAAAATATGAAAAACTGTAGTGTAGTAGATAAAGAGCAGGCCTCAGAGCCAGGAAGACCTGAGTTCAGTTCCAACCTCAGTGGCTTTGTGCTACTGGACAAGTCATTTAACCTTTCAGTGCGTGAAGTAACTCTTTACTTTTCTGATGTATATTGTTAGAGGGAGTTACCTTAGTTGGGTATTGCCATTCCTGTCACATCACAGGCCCTATTCCTATGATTCCTCCCTCCCTCCCTTCCTTCCTCTGCCAAGCTATCCCTTGGATTTCTAAAGAGCATTTTTGCAGTTATTCTCTAACCCTGAGTACTAACTTTGCATTACTTCATTTGGTTAAGCAATGTATAAACTACAAAGGTAAACTTATACAGTCCTGTATTTGTTTTGTTCTTATTTTATGAAAATATTCAAAAAATAGGAGTTATGAGTCATATACTAGAAATTGCATGAGACTGCACAGTCAGATGACCATTGAGCCTTTGAAATGGTCATCTGCCCTCAGAGCCAAAAAGCATTTTTTAGTAGCTTCCTGCTCCTTAAAATTGCCAGGAGTCAAATGTTATTTAATTATAAAGACCAATCTCTGTCCCAGAGAACTGATATTGAAACCCACTTCTCTTCTTTTTTTTTTTTTTAAGGTGAGGCAATCAGGCCCAAGGTCACACAGCTAGTAAGTGTCAAGTGTTTGGTCTAAGGCCAGATTTGAACTTAGGTCCCCCTGACTTCAGGCCCGGTGCTCTATCCACTGCGCCACCTAGCTGCCTCCCACTTCTCTTCTTTAGGGGAGAAGTGGTAGACCGCAGGTGTGGAGTGTGGTATTTGCTAACAGATATGGTTACTATGTCTTTTGGTTTTGCTTGAATGATCTTCTTTATATTAAAGAGATGTCTTAGTTAGAGGGAGCAGGTTAAAGGGAAATGGCTTGCATGGAAACAAAAATCATCAGTAAAACTGAAAAAATAATTGTCGTGATTGACTGGCTTCTTTATCCAGTCTACCTTGTTGTGACACTCTAACTTTAACATTCGTTATTATTCTGATGCAGATGATGATGATAGCAGCAGTGGAGAGGATCAAGAAGAGACTTTTGACAATCTAGAAGAAAAGGAAATAAAGTCTCAAATTGCTCAGAAGGTCATTGCCATTCAAAATGATAAAAATAGGCCAAAAGAAGGATCAGCACAAGAAGAGAGCTCAGATGATGATGATGATGATGATGATGATGATAATGATAATGATGACAATGGGGAATCTCAAGGAAGGATGAGAGCAAGTCAGGAGACAGCAAGTGAAAGGAAGGATGAATCTGAAGTGTCATTAAGTTATCCAGATACTACAATTGATCTGTCTCACCTTCAATCCCAAAGGTAATTCTAAAGGCAAAGTGGAGAATGTGAAGTTTTATGTAGTAAATTAGGGCTGGTGATAATATGGAAAGGTAATAAAAAGGTTGGGCCTACCCCCACCCCAATCTGTTTATTCCAGAAACTAGATGATAATTTCTTGTTTGTTTGTTTTTTAAAATAAGTTTTAATTGATGTCTTTTGTTTCTTATGTCATCATGGTGTTCCCCAGTACCCTTCCCTCACCTTCCTGGAGAACTATGCCATTTAACAAGTAATATTATTAGCACAACTAGTTGGTACATTGAACATGTCTGAAAAAGTGTTATGTGCAACATTTGTGCACCTCTTATCTCCATGAAGGGGTGGATTTGGGCTGTCTTCTCATATGTCTTCATCTAAATCATACTTGATCTTTATAATTTTGTTAAATTCACTTTTGATTTTTGTGTGTGTGATTATTCTTTCCATTTATATTGTGTATATTGTTTTTTTGGTCCTGCTTACTTCACTCTGCATCAGTTCATGTAAATCTTTCCATATTTTTCTGCATTCATCACAGATGTAATATCTTATAGGACAGTAATATTCCATTATATTCATGTACCACAATTTGTTTAGTCATTCCCCAATCAATGGACATCTATCTTGTTTCCAAAAGGGCTACTATCAATATTTTGGTGTATGTAGGAACTTTCTTCTTATTGATAGATTATAAGCCTAGTAATGGAGTCTCTGATTCAAAGGGTATGGACATTTTAGTCATTTTATTTTCATAGTTCCACATTGATTTTCATAGCAGTAATACCATCTCACAGGATAATTCCTTGTTTAAAAAAAAAACTCTATAATGTGGAAGTAAAAAATACAGTATATATGGAAGTGCTTTATGAAATCTGATTTCAACTAACCTAGATCAAATTAGAAACAAACTCAATCCTATTATTTCCTAAATTGATTGTATAAAATATCTGGCCTTGCAAAAGCTTTAAAAATACACCTCAAGTGTCTTGTCCAAGTGAAGAAGAACAATAATATAGGGAGAAGCATAGTAGAGAAAATTGAAAAGAGCGATGTTACGTAGATTTTACCAAAGAACTGGATTTATTTGTAGGATTATTAATGAAAAAGGGTATATTGGGAGCATTTTGTGTCGAGGCCTAAGGTGATTTTAGACACCACTAATAAGTGGATGAATTTGTTCTTCTTTTCATAGATCCTTCCAGAAGATAGTTGCTAGAGAAGATTCTTCTGATGTGGTAAGTTGTCTGCTGAGCTTTTTAAAGAGAATAGCATTATGTGTACTTTTAAATAAAGTATTTTTTAAATAATAATTTGGTAGAAATTAAGATTAAACCAAATATATTATGTTATATATGACAAAAAGCTCAAAATGGATATGTGACCTGAATATAAAAGATCGCACTATTAATATTAGAGTGAGACCAAGTACTTTTCACAACATAGGAAGAGAAATCTTAACCAGACAAGGAATGAAAGAAGCCATAAAAGATAAAAATAGGTGATTCTGACTGCATGAAACTAAAAATATTTTAACATAGATAAAAACAGTGAAGACAAAATAGCAGGAAAAGGGTAGAGTGTGGAAAATATTTACAGCAATGTTACTAATAAAAGTCTTACATTCAGAATATATGGATACACAGAGTGTTATTCTGCAATAGATAAGTGAATATGAAATTTTCGAAAGAAGGTTTGCAAATTATAAATGACCACATGAAAACATGATCCAAGTCACCAATAGTAAAAGAAATACAAATTAAAACAACACAAGATTGTTTTACTCCATAAAAAGGATGAAAAAAAAGAGCTGGAAACAATATTGGAGGAGCTCTGGGGAGATGTGATCCAACTATTTTGGATTTCTATTTAGAATCATGGAGGAAAAATGACAAATTGCCCATATTTTCTGATCTAGTAGTCCCATTGCTGGGCTTATACTTCAAGAAAGTGAAATATTGAAATAAAAGCCCATTTTATACCAAAATAGTCATAGTGTTACTGTTGATGGTAGCAAAGAACTGGAAGGTTCCCATTGTTTGGGAAATGGCTGAAATGATGGAATATTATTATTTAGTAAATAATAATGAATATGAGGAATTCAGAGAAACGTGAAAATTTGTATGTGCTAATGAAGAATTAAACGAATAGATACAAGAGAACAACATAAACAATGACTACAAAGTTACTGAAAAGACCACTAAAAGTAAATTGAACTCTAAGTGATAGAAAAACCTGTGAAGATCTTGAAAAAGAGATAATGAAAAATATGCCCTCTTTTGTGGCAGAGAGGTGGCGGGGGAGTCACTAGGGCAGAATATCATATACATTACCAGGTAAGGTCTCTGAATCAGATTTTTTTTACTTCCTTAACTGATTTTCTTTGTCACTAGAAAGAGTTAAAGGCATTCATAAGACATTTTTTGCTTTTGTTTTTAATATTTGAAAAGTCATTCGTACTGGGGTTTATTTTTTTCTTTGTTTGTTTTTGCTTGTTTCTTTGGCTTAATAGAATGACAGTAAATTACATGGCCGGAGGCATTTGTCAGCCAAGGAGCGAAGGTAAAACAATTTGTATTTTTAAAAAGCAAACATCTTGATTTATAGCTTATGGTAGTTTAGCTGACACATCAGCTTTCTCTTTTGAAAGATCAGCTTTATTAAATTGAAATTACCTGTTTATATGTCTCAGAATAAAAGGCATATAGTTATGATCCCATTTAATTTTTAATGCTTAAATGTAAAAAGTTTTTTCTATTTTAAGACCCAGACTTTATATCACTAGGATTAATATGGTCATTGATCTTATCTTACTAAGTTCTAAATTCAGTCTGACAAATATTTATTGAATGCCTCCTATGTGGCACCAGGTGTTGGGGATACAAAGACAGGCCATGATCCTTACGAAGTAGGGAGAGAACTAAAATAACTGTTGATAACAGAGAAAGCGAAGAGATCTCAGCTGGGATAAATGCAAAGACTAGAGTTGTTGAGAAGGAAATAGGGAAGTCTTGACGGAGGAATGACACCTGAATTCAGCTTTGAAAGGTGGGAAGGGGGTTTTAGCAGATGGCAGATGGCCTTCCATGAGAGAGGGCAGCAGAAGGATGGAGGATGGACAGTACTTCAGTTTGGCTGGAATGAAGAACAAGGGAAGGAAAGTAGTATGAGATAAGGAAAGCCAGGAAGGATGGAGTCAGATTGTGGAGGGTTTGAACATTGATTCAGTCATATTTCTCTGTTGAGTGTAAGCAACAAAAATAGGTTTTGTGCCTGAGAGAGCATATATTAAATAAAAATCGTTGGCCTTTTCCCGAGGAAGCTTTTCCATTAACGTAAATATGTACAAAAAATATACAAGTGTATCGAAGGAGAGAGATGGTTCTTGAATGTGTTGGTTAGGCTAGAGAATAAATGGAGTTAATCAGGAAAAACTTCATGTAAAAGAGACTTTTTAAAAAATTTTAAGGGAAGGCTATAAAAGCTCTCTTATATGAAAAAGAATGGGCAATAGTTCCAAAGTGGAAGGAGAACTAGAAACGTGAGCTTAGAAGGTCAGGGCACTATATCTGTAGCAAATCATTACCCACATCAGGGCCCATTAGATGGAAAAAACTGTGGCAGATTTTGAGAGTAGAAAGATGGAAATATGATGTTTGCCCTTGTACTTTTTAGTTGATTAGGGGAAATAGGACATAAACACTGTAGAAAAACAATAGCAACAGTATAGGCCAGCCTAGGGAAGTCCCAAGTTTGTGATCTGGAAAAGTACTACAGGAATTCACTGGGGGGGAAATATCCCTATCGGTTACAATAGCTAGAGCAATTGGGACTTGAAATAAGGTTGGAAAATGTAGATGGGGGCCCAGTGATACAGCGCATTGACCCCGGGATAATCAGTTGTGTGAGGTGAAGCTTTAGCTTACTTTAGCATTAACATTGGACTAGAAGAGGGAAAGGGTGGAGGAAGACAGAGCACTTAGATAATTATAATAAATATTATCACCAGGACATTTACAAGTGTTGAGAGTCTCAGTCAGAAAGTCATATAAGCTGTTTTGAAGTCTTATATACCACAAGATTCAATTTGCATGTTTTTTAATTATGTTAGAAATAGTTGACACTCTATCTAGGCTTTTATGTCAAGTGGCATATTAGAGCTGTTAGTGATAGCGCCATTGTAGTCTTACATATGCTAGCACTTACTTAGCATTTTAAGTTTTGTAAAATGATTTACACATTGTACTCCATATGATACAGCAACCTGGTGCAGTAATTGCTATTATTATCATCCCTGTTTTACAGATGAAGAAACTAAGACTAAGAGAAGTTAAGTGATTTACTCAAAGTCCAACAGCTAGTAAATATATGAGACAAGATTCGAAGTCAGGTCCATCTGACTGGCAGAGCTGAGAAAGTTGTTTTGGATTTGAAAGATTTGGATCAGTAAAGATCAGAAGTTTCCGGTTTTTTTCATTTTTAGGGAAATGAAGAAAAAAAAGCAACCAAGTGACTCAACAGATTTAGACATGTTGGAGGGAAAGGAAAAGGAAAATACACTGAAGACTGAAGTTTCTCCAAATACAAGCAAAAATGTTCTAGGTCCACAACCAATGAAGAGAGGACAGAAGGTATAGGCTGAGAAGTTATAAGATTAATAATAATTATAATTAGTACTAAAATGTGGTTTGTAAAAAAAATGGGGTTTTATGGAGTTCTGGTTTTTCTTTTTTAAATGAAATAGAAGATGTAGAAGAAATTAAAATTAGTTAATGGAGATAATAATTGGACTTAAATTTTAGAGGTGGGAGGGATCTAAGAGATCAAGTCCAAGTATTTTTTGAGGAAATTGAAACCCAGAGAAGTTAAGTGGTTTGTCTCTGTCTGTCTTAATGCTTTTTGTTAAGTTTAGCTTGGAAGTTTTATGAGGTTTTTGGTGTTTTTTTTTTAATTCTTAACATGATTTTAAGTGACTTATGGTCATTGATACTTTAACTTATCATAATATAATAATACTAATAGCTAACATTTATATAGTGCTTACTATGTGCCAAGCATTGTGCTGAGTGCTTTACAATTATTATCTCATTTTATCCTCACCACAACCCTGGATGCTATTATCCCCATTTCACAGATGAGGCAGACAAAGATTGACTTCCTCAGTCACATAACTAGTAAGTGTCTGAGGACAGATTTGTACTCAGTCTTCCTGACTTCAGACCCTGTACTCTATGAAAGATTATAAATCTAAAGAAATTTGTTCAGAGCACATAATAGTTTACTAACTCCTGCTCCCCTATTTGTCTTTTGCCACAAACTTCTCAGAAGAGTAATTTAAACTTATTGTTCCTACTTTCTTATCCTCTGATTTCTTGCAGTCTGCCGCCTTTTTCCATCATTCAAGTGAAATTGTTTTCTTGAAATCTGCAGATGGCTTCAAAAATTTTTTAAAAAGTACAAACTTTAAAGTTATTGTCTCAGTCTTTATACTTCATAATTTCTTTGTAACATCTGACACTTGGTCAGTCTTTCCTTGAAACTTTTTCCTTCCATGACCTGCTATGTACTGTGCTAGGAGACTGCTTGGCATTTGGAAAATTCACTGACCTGGAAGCTTGAGGTCCCAGTTCTACTAATAGTAATTAGCTATGTGACCTTGGGCAAATTAAAATTACTTTTCTCTAGGCTTCAAAGTTCTTTTTCTATAAATAAGGAAATTGGACAGTTGACCTCTAAAGTTCTGTGAGTTTTTAGTTCTGTTCTTCTGACCTTTCTTTCTCCTTTTCTGGTTTCTTTTTCTCCTTCTACCCACCAAATACAGACACTCCCCAAAGTTAAATTCTTGCCTTTTCCTTTTTCACTAGGCAGTGCAGTAGATAGAATATAGGACTTGGAGTCGGGAACACTTGAGTTTGAATTCTGTCTCTAACAACTGTGTAACTGGAGAACTCACTTAAACATCTGCTTCTAGTTCTCTCATGTATTAAATGGGGATAAAAGTAGCACTCATCTCACAGGGTTGTGGTGAGGACCAAATGAGTTGACATATGTTAACTTGCTTAGCAGACCTTAAAATGTTAGCTATTATTTTTATTGACAAACTGTTAAAAAAATTTTTTATTTTTTTCAGTAAATTTTTTGAAAACCAATGTTGACCATCATTACAATCAATTAAATATAATGACTGTTTACATTTAATTCAGCACTTCAGTCATTTCTGTTAGTGCCAATTAATAATAATAGCTAGAAAAATACTTTATAAATATTATCTCATTTCATGCTCACAACAATCCCACATGGAAGGTGCTATTACTATGCCTGTTTCACAAATGAGGAAACTCAGGCAGGGATAGGTCAAGTGATTTGCCCAGTGTCACACAGAAAGTATTTGAGGACAAATCTGAATATTGTCTTCCCAATTCCGGGTCCAAGGTTTTATCCAGTGACCCTTCTAGGTACATCCTCATCAAGATTCTATGTACATTCTTTTTTTTCTTTATTTTGCTATGTGTCCTACACTCTTGGTAATCTTATCTCATAAAAACAGATGTTATTTTTATATAGTTTACTTTCAGGTCTTTATGTCCAAGTCCTTACTCTTTCTTGAAATCAAGATATTTTCACCATGACCAAAAATTTTACCTCTCCAAATCAGTTTATCTTCCTCATTTTTCCAGATTGGCTAATAAACAACAGCAACAAAACGCACTCTTCCAGTCATTTAGGTTTGAAATCTCCAACTAATCCCTGTCTATTCTTTGTTCCTCCTCCATCTTCAGAAACTCCTACTTTAAGTCGTATCAGTTCTGCCTCCACAATGATCTTAGATTAAACCCTTCTTATCTATTCCCATTGCCACCCCCTACTTCTGTGCCCATTATGTTTTGCCTCTTAGTGTCACATGGTTCCACCTGTCTTCTGAAAGATCACTTTGGCAGCTGAGTGGAGGGCCGACTGGAGTGGGGAGAAAGTTGAGTCACGGAGAGCAAACAGAATGCTGTTACAGTGGTCCAAATGGGAGATTATGAGGACCTACAGCAAGCGTGACTATAGAGGAGAGAGATGTTGTGAAGGTAGAGATGAGAAGGCTTAGCAAAAGACTGGCTATCTGAATATGAGTGAGGAGTTGAAGATGACACTGTGGTTGCAAAGTTAGATAACTGAGGTGATGGTGCTGTCCTCAGCAGTAATAAGGACAGAAAGGAAGGAGGGAGGACAGATGAAAGGAAGGAAGCAAACAAAACATAACATTTGCTAAATACTTATGTGCCAGGCACTGTGCTAAGGGCTTAACAAATATTATTTTATTTTATCCTCACAATAACCCTGTGACGTAGGTGCCTCTATTATCCCCATTTTACAGCTAAGGAAACTGAGGCAACCAGGAGTTAAGTGACTTCGCCAGGGTCATGTAGCTAGTAAGTATCTGAGTCTGAATTTGAAGTCATTTCTTCCTGACTCTAGGCCCAGCACTCTATTCACTGTGCACCCATCTGTGTAGAAGAGAGGAGTTTGGGAGAAAGATAGTGAATTTCTATTTTGGGCATGTTGAGTTTGAGATGGTTTATGGGACATCCAGTTTGAGATGTCCAGTAGACACTTGGCGCTGCGGTAGGACCAGAGAGATGTAAAGACTGCATATTGAGTGCAAAGATTGTTTTATATTCATTGTTTTGTCCCCCACAGTATCTGTTATTGTGGCTTAGGTACTCAATATATGTTTGATGAATGAATGGAAAAAGCCTTCCCTGACTAGATAATTATTGCCTTTTTTTTTTGGTTACTTTTGGATTTCTCATACCAGTTTTTTGATTCCACAGAGTAAAATTAAAAAAATGAAGGAAAAATATAAAGACCAAGATGAAGAAGATCGTGAACTTATCATGAAGCTCCTTGGTGTAAGTGAAACATGAAACCATTTCCATCTTTTGCTTCTTATCAGTAAATGGCACAAAGTAACATTTTTCTTCGGGGATAAAGAACCTAACATTCTTGGGAATAGAGGGAAGGTTGTAAAGAGCAAAGGTAAAGTTTTTAAAAGGGTGTAAAATTTCATCAGATACTGTATGTTGTGTGTGTATTTGTCTTCTGTCTTTGTGTCTTGTCTGCCTTTGCCATCTAAATAAATTAACTCTCATCCCCCAGAATGGGGTCCAACAGCTTAAACACTTAGGGAAAGTGGAAGCAGGTACTCAAAGATCAGTGCGAGATGAATGGAGGAGGGTGCATCTTGTTATAAATATATCTCAAATCTCAAGTCTTATGAACAGGCAGCTTCCCATAGCAGTTAGCCATAAGAGCTACTGAAAAGAAAGCGAGAGGTATAGAGTGTGCTTCCACCAAGTATGGTGAGCAGGGGGCATTTTATTTTGACCTGCAGAGGGCATTCTATTTATAGTTCTGCCAATACAGGGTAATTCTTAGGAATATACAAAGTACCAGCTGGTTTGTCTCCTGGAGGAGAAAATGAAAGGACTTGAGAAACTCTCCAAGTTGTCAGAAATATTAATAAGGAGAAAACAAGATAAAGTTTGTAAGGAAGGGAATTCTCATCTCTGTCAGGAAATTGCAGGATATAGAAATATGATAGTGATTTGTATGAATTTTCTTGTTCAGTTAATAACCATGTATTTTTTCTTGCCTCCTTCCCCATTGGGAAACAAAAAAGACCAAACTTCTATAACAAAAATGCATAGTCAAGGAAAAAAAATTCTGCATTAGCCATTTCTAAAAATGTATGTTTCATACTGTATCTTGTGTCCATCATCTTTCTATCAGTAGTTAGACAGCATGCTTCCTCATCAGTTGTCTGAGATCATGGTTGGTCACTGCATTGAGCAAGGTTCTTAAGTCTTTCAAATTTGTTTTTACAATGTTGTAGTTAACATAAAAATCACATCACTCTTCGTTAGTTCATTAGTCTAACAAGGTTTTTAGGAAATTATCCCTTTCATCATTTCTTATGGCATAGTAGTATTCCATTACATTCATATACCATAATTTGTTAAGCCATCCCCAAACTGATGGGTAACTCCTTAATTTTCAGTTCTTTGCTACTACAAAAAAGAGCTATTACAAATATCTTTACACATAAAGGTCCTTTTCCTCTTTTTTTTTTTAATCCACGAATGGTATTGTTAGGTCAGATGGTTTAATTTCTCATGTTTTTCTTGTGGACAAGATGGAAAGGCCACCAAACATTTGCAGATATCTGTAGATATGAGGCTCTTTTCCAGGGGGAAAGGGACTGTCTTTGGAGGAAGTAGCTGCAAAGGATGATATTATAATTTCCATTGAGGTAACAGCTTTTCTAGTAATGGGCAGAGGAATAAGAGTTGATCAGGAATTCTCTGCTGAAGAAGTAGCTGGTTTTGGATAGGGTATAACCAAGACAGCTGTGTGCCTAATTACCTAGGGTGTATATCTAAGAAGTGACAAAGAGAACTGCCTGAGTTAGTGAAAAGTGCCCACTTCTGGTGTTTGATGGAGGGACAAATGCTACCACTCGGAGGAAGCTGGCTTCCATTGTGAAAGATTAAGGAAGTGCTGGTCAGAAAAATATTGAAATCTGAGGTGTTTTCATTAATCCTACCAACTGAGGGCATTCAATAGGAGAAGGAAAATATGGGAAATTAATAAGGAGAGATTGTCTGAAGCTGAGATTTGGAATTTTGGGCTACACTATAAAATATAGGAATACTGTGAAACGAGAATAATGGGCTTTTGGCACAAGAATGAGTGAACTGAACAAAGGCCAGTAAAAACATATTTGACTCTTTTCTTGTACAGCTAAGTAAAAGGTCTTTAAATAGAAAAGTGTGAAAACTCTCCCCATAGCTATGGTAAGCCTGATTGCACAGAGAGAAATAAGTACAACTCAGGAGAAAGAATAGCAGAAAAGAATGGTAATTTGGGGTGAGAATGTTGAAGAGAGTTGGCAGTCAATCCACAGTTTAAGATATCCTTCTGCAGCTCTCTTGGGGAGAGGGAAGGGGAAGGAGGGAGAAAAACATATGGAACTTAAAATCTCATAAAGGGAATGTTGAAAACTATCTTTACATGTAACTGGAAAAAATAAAATACTTTTTTTTTTTGCTTTTAGGCAGTTGGGGTTAAGTGACTTGCCCAGGGTCACACAGCTAGTAAGTGTCAAGTGTTTGGTCTGAGGCTGGATTTGAACTCAGGTCCTCCTGACTTTAGGGCCGGTGCTCTATCCACTGCGCTACCTAGCTGCCCCCAAAATACTATTAAGTGGGGGAAAAAAGATATCCATCTGCAAATGCACAAAGTATTGATAATAAACAAGGTGAACTAGAGATTGTCATAAAAAAGGCAAATTTGCCCTTGTTGATACTTTGGAGGATGGAATTTATAGTTGAAATTTCAATCTAGAATGGTGAAGCTTATTCACAGTAGATACAAGGCATTAAGCAATCTGTCATAGTAATTAGCAACAAGGGTTAGCCTTGGGAGCTGTCAAAAGAAGACAAAGGACAATGACACTTGTTCCAATGAAGTTGTAGAAGCCAAAGCACTTCTGTGAAGCTGTGAAGCACTGTATGTTAAGGACGGATATTCATGTGAACAATCCAGAACTCTGTGTGTGTGTGTGTGTAGAAACACAGGGAGAATTTAGATGACAGTCAGCAGGTAGTAAAAGAAAATATATTGTTTGAGGTCTTGGTGGGGGTGCTGTGGGGCGGGGCGGGGGGCGTCATATGAGACAATACTGACCAAAAATGGAAAGAAGGCAGAAATTCTTAGCCTATATTTGACTTCTGTTTTATCTCTCAAAAAGAATAATCATTGTGTACTTCAGAGGATAGAAGAAAAATGGCTTAGAGGGATTAATCTAAATGCCCTTGATGAGTTTAAGTCACCAAGTACAGATGAGTTCAATCCTGGTGTACTAATTACTTATCAGTCAGCAGATAAACAGGTATTAAGTGCTTGCTACGTGCCAGGTGCTATACTAAATACTGGGAATATGAAAGTAAAAGATAGTCCCTGCTCTCAAGGAGCTCACAATCCGATCAGTTTATCTAGATTTTAGCAAAGCATTTAACAAAGTCTCTCATGTTATTGTCGTAAACAAGAAGGAGCAACATGGTTTATGATGGTACAACTAAGCTGAATTCCTGGACCCAAAAAATTTGATGTCAACTCTAGATGATGATGATGATGATGATGATGTATTTAAATAGCACTTTAAAGTTTGCAAAGCACTTTAGAAATATTATCTCACAACACCCCTGGGAGGTAGGTGCTGTTTCTGTCCCTATTTTACAGGTGAGGAAACTAAGGTAGATGGATAAGTAACTACTCAGGGTCACGTAGCTAGGAAGTATCAAAGGACAGGTCTGAACTCAAGTCTTCTTGACTACAGGTGCAACACACTATTGCACCAACTGAGATGCCTTGAGCTGTTGAGTGTATTGCCCCAGAGATCTTTGTCCCTGTGCAGTTAATGACTTAAATGAAAGTATGGATGATGTGATATCTTCATCAAGTTTATGGGTGAAAAGCTAGGAGGGAGAACCAACACATGAGATGATAAGATTCAGAATCTCGCTAGAACTTTGGGCCAAATCAATAAGATAAAAAATTGGTAACCACAAGTCTTACACTTGGATTTTTTTTTAAAAAATCAGTTTCACGAATAAAACCAGGAAGGCATTGATAGCTAAGGAGCAGGGTGACTAGAAAAAGAAAAAATCAGGAGGTCTTAGGAAACCACAAACCCAGCATGGGTTGACAGCTTGATATGGCAGCTAAGGAAGCCAGAGCTGCATCAAGAGAGGCATAAGGTCAGTTACTAAAAGGTGATAGGTCATTTGATAGACATGTTGATAGACAACATTTGGAATGTTACATTGAGTTCTGGGTTTCACATTTTAAGAAGATTGGCAAGCTCAAGAGTGTCCAGAGGAATAATAGTAATGAGTATGGAGGTTCTGCCATATGATGATCAGTTGAAGGAAACAAATGTTTGACCTGATGAAGCTTTAGGAACACAACAGCTGTTTTTAAGTCTTTGAGGGGCTGTCACATGAAGGAGAAAATAGACTGTCTTTGTTTATCTCCATGTGACAGAACTAGAAGCACTGAATTGAAAGAGGCACCTTTAAAGGTGACGTGAAGAAAAACTTCCTAACAGTTAAAGCTGTCCCAAAGTCAAATGTGCTGCCTTATGTTGTTTTTGATTCCCCTTCACCAGAGATCCTCGAGCAAAGTCTAGATCAGTGGTGTCAACCTCAAATAGAAATGGGAGCCACTAAGCCCTAGGTAAAGATCCCCATGGGCTGCATTTTACTTAGAAAACCACATTAACGTTATGGGGGTGTTTTTGTTATTTTTATTTTTTTTTTGTTTAATACTTCTCAATTACATTTTAATCTGGTTCAGGCCTCAAGCAACATGCTGCATGTGGCCTGTGAGTTGCATGTTTGACACCTGTTGTAAAAGAGATTCTTCTTGTTCAGACATAGGTTGGGTCATATGACCCTTTTGAGGTCTTTTCCAACTATGATTTTATGATTCTGTGGCTCTACAGTGAGTGGAAGAAGGGATTAAAAGAGTTGAGGGGGAGCTAGGTGGCCTTGGAGTCAAGAGGACCTGAGTTCAAATCCAGCCTCAGACACTTAACACGTACCAGCTGTGTGACCCTGGGCAAGTCACTTAACCCCAATCACCTCACCAAAAAAAGGGAAAGGAAAAAAAAGAAAGTTGAGAAATGCTATGAACCTAACATGAAATGATTTCATGTTGGGGAAATTCAAATATTTGGAATTCTGCTAGATTCTGTCCGAAGCAAAGCAGCTAATAAGTTTCTAACTTTCTTAAAACTTCTTCCTTCAAAAAGACAGACCTGATTTTGACCAAGAAGGAAGAACTGGTTGGTAGGAAGAATTCTTCTTATTAATTTATTTATTCTTAGTTTTCACCATTCACTTCCACAAGATTTTGATTTCCAGATTTTCTCCCCATCTCGTCCCTCCCCCCACCTCAAGATGGCATGCATTCTGAATAACCCTCCCTTCTGTCTCCCCGCCCCTCCTTCTCTTATCCCCTTCCCATTTTATTTTCCTGTGGGCAGGATAGATTTCTATACCCCATTGCCTGTATATCTTATTTCCCAGTTGCATGTGAAAACAATTTCTAACATGTTTTTAAAACTTTGGGTTCCAAATTTTCTCTCTTCCTCCCTCCCCACCCACCTTCATGGAGAAGTCAAGCAACTCGATACAGGTTATGCATGTGTAGTCATGCAAAACACTTTGATAGTAGTCATGTTGTGAAAAACTATTTCCCTTCATCCTATCTCCCCTCCCCCCCGTTTATTTTCTTCTCTCTTTTGACCCTTTCCCTCCTCAGAAGTGTTTGCTTCTGATTACCCCCTCCCCAAATCTGCCCTCCCCTCTACCAACCCCCTGCTCTCTTATCCCCTTCCCTCCTATTTTCCTGTAGGGTAAGATAGATTTCCATACCCAATTGAGTATGTATGTTATTCCCTCCTTCAGGCAAATCCGATGAGAATAAGATTCATTCATTTCCTCTCACATTGGTAAGGAGAATTATTAACAAAACAAGGGGTAGTAGTAATTGACAACGAATGTCACTGATCTCCTGTTGAGCACTTAGAAGTCTTTCACAATCTGACTTCAGTTTATTCTTCTGGATTTATGCCACTGGTATATATATACACCAGTGACACTGCCCTCCTTGTTCATTTTCCATATACTATATTCCAACTTCCATCTCTTCATCTTTGTGCTTGGAATATGCTCTCCTGCTAACCTCTGCCTTTTATAATCCAGAGCTTCTGTTAAGATTCAACTCTCAAGTGCCAGCACCTTTCCTGATCCCTCCCCCACCAAAAGAAAATGTTTATAAGTAATGAGTTTTATACACATTATTCCTCCTGTAAGCTCCTTGAGGTACAGAACAGCTTTTGTACCCCCAGTGCCCTAACATGGTACATTGAAAATAGCAGGTACTCAAAAAATATTTGTTCAATTGAATTAGGAATACAGAGCCACTGGAAGACTTTTGGAGTGATGTAGTGGGAACTAAGTAGAACCAAGAGAATAGCACATACAGCTACAATAATGCAAGTGAAGAGAACTTTAGTGGAAAGCTGAATGATGAGTAATTTTATTGACCAATCTTGGCTCCAGAAGAGATGAGGAGGGGCAGCTAGGTGGCACAAGTGGATAGAGCTCCAGCCTTGGAGTCAGGAGTACCTGAGTTCAAATCTGGTCTCAGACCAAACACTTGACACTTACTAGCTGTGTGACCCTGGGCAAGTCACTTAACCCCAAATGCCTCAAAAAAAAATGAGTTGGAGAAGAAAATGGCAAACCACTATAGAGTTAAATATGGACTTGATATAAGGAAAAACTTGCTGGCTGTTAAAGCTGTATAAAAATGTGTGATAGACTGCTTCAGAAGGTGGGGTAGTTGGCTGCTTCTAACTGGCGGTCTTTAAGCAGAGTTGTGGCAGGGGATATGCTAGGAGGGATTTGTTGTCAGGTTTGGATTGGGCTTTGTAGCCTCTGAGATCCTTTCTAGTGCTTAGATTCTGTGATACTGTGAAATAAAGTCTGCAGGTTCAAGCAGAGAAGAAAAAGGGAAGAAAGGGAAGAAAGGGAAAACAGTGAAAACAAAAGAAGAAACAGTGAAGAAACCACCCCAGAAATTCAAGGGTGAACTGAGGATTGGCGACAGAATTAAGGAAGAAACTCCTTCTCTTGAAGCTGTAACTCATGGAGTACAAGAACTTGCCATGGAGGATCAGCCAGATGACAAGGTAAATCTCATCTTTAGAAATAAATGACTGTAGCTTCTTATGTAATACTACTACTGACATCTGAAATTAAAAAGGCTACTTACTCAGTGCTCTTTGTTAGAAGCTTATTAGTTCACTTAAAAATTTTTTTTAAATGGTGAATATTTTAAACTACATTAAGAGCCAAGGAATGTGTTTATTATAGCACATGGCAGTCTTAAGAGGTAACATGGCATAGGAGATATGGAACCAGCCTGGGAGTCAGTGATGATACCCACCAAGTTCAAATTTGGCCTATGACATATCCTGGCTTGTGTGACCCTAGGCAAGACAGTTAATCTTAATATTCATGGCCCTGGCAACTTTTAAGGTTATAAATTTCAGAATGGTTACCAGCTGGCTTTGGTAGAGGCAATTTCCCAGTGAAATCACAAGTTCAAACAACAAAATTGTGGCTAGCATAACCTCTATAGCACTGAAAGAATTGCAGAACTAAGTTCATTATATTATTTAACCTTGTCTCTTGATGAGATAGATGGACATTTTTCTTTCATGCTTGGTGTCAGGCTTGAGGTACAAACAATACATTAGCAGATGTTGGCAAGTTTGCAAGGAGGCCTTGTTTGCTCATAGGCATACCTCATCAGCATTAGTTGTGCTGAAATGAATGTTTTTCATCTTATAAAAAATCATAAATTTTTTTATTTCTGAGGGTTTTAATTAGACGATGTTTTGGTGAAAACCAACTATAAAATATTATTTTTGAAATGAATGTGGATGTGGTCAAAGTAAAGTAGTAATTTGACATTGGCTCAAAAAGAAGTCATGAGGAAAAAAATTTATTTCCTGATCTTTATGTAGAAAGGGATTGCTATATTGAAAATGGCCTAGGTACATTCTAGGTACTCTTTGAAAATCTAATCTATATGATGATTTAGTTTACAAAAAAATTTCAATTTTGCACATGAAATTTCTGGCTCTTGAAAATGTGTCTTTGAACAAAGAATTTTGTTGTTTGTTGTGAATTCAGTATACAGTTTTAATTGGGAGTCATTGTTCTTTGTGGCAAATTAAATATAGGTCATAAACCACCATGTTCCCAGTTCAGTAGAGTTTCCTAGATGTTTATAACAATAGCCTTTTTTGTTTTTTAATATTCTGTGGTAGTCATAAACCCAGTATTTTTGACTATTGCATTCTGACATTCTGCATTATTCTGTTGACTTGGATCAATTTAGTTAAGGTCTATAAATGATTGCTAGCCATCCAATATTTAGGGATAGAATATCTTGTGAAGAAAATTTTCTTCAAGTGTAACAGTCCTCTCGTGTACGTTGTTAGAAAAGATAAAGATTAATTTGGAGAATGGATTTCTTCAGAAAATTTTCTGGAGGCAAGTCATTGATAAAAGACTTTTTTGTTGATCCTCAGGTCTTTCCCAGATTTTTTTCCTAAACATTGATGAATGTGTAGTTATTCATTATACCTTTGGTGATTAAGAACAATAAAAACTTCCAGACAGTATGGGGCTGTTACATCACTTTTTTTCCCCCAAACCTTTCAGAAAGCAATGCCTCCTTTGTTTTACTCTCTCCCTTTGAGTGGTATTGCTCTCTGAAAAATAAATTTAAAATGCCATGTCCACATTTTTTCCCCTGTAATACTCAAATTAATTGCTTTCAGATCACTGTTGAATGTAAACCTATACTTCTCTACAAGGGTCAGGTGGTGACAGCTTGTCGGTGACAGCTTGTCAGTCACACTGTCTTGGCTGTTCCATGCTCTTTGGCATAGACTTCAAGGGTCTTGTACTAAGTGTAATCTTTTGTTTTATTTACATGTTTGGAGCAGGAAGAGCAAGATATAGAACAACAAGGAAATGAGGTACGATTGGGGGGGGCACCCAGCAGGGGTCCTCACAGCACTGTCATCTGTGTTTCCTAAAAGATTCAGCATAGATATCAGCCACTTCAATTCATCTTTGGTGCTACACAGAGCCATTTGCCCTAGGTTTCCTTATTCCTTAATAGCAAATGGATCAAGTTGAACAAGTGAGCTGGGCCCTAAGAACATAAATACCTAGAATTAGGAAGTCTATAACCAAGTTTCCTGGACCCCATAGACTCTAATGCTATTCCTTAGCTGAGTACTCAGCACCCAGTAGTTAAATTGCTGATGCAGCATATTTAAGTCCTTTTCTAGTCATCATTGTAGTAAACAGACTACAGTAAAAGTGGACTTCCAAGTAAGAGGAGTGAAAATAAGCCAGCCATTTTCACATTAATCTGTTATTTTGCTTTTTCAGAATTTTCCATATCTTAAGAGAAGAGGTGTAATAAAATAACTCTTTAGTTAGGACTGTTCTCACTCCCTCAACGTTTCTTCATGTAGACAATGCTTCTCCAGTAGACAACACCACCTCTTTGCTGAGGTTCCTATGAAACACAATGAGAGTCTTGAGTACTCGGGGCTTTTCAAAAAATTCAGTTTCAGTTTCAGTTTGAAATTCCCACCGTCCCATTGAGAAAGCAAGGAAAACAAAACCCATTACAAACACGTATAGACACACAAACTGTACTTCCACATTAACCATGTTTTTACGCACAACTCCCTTCACGTGCACTCTTGAGTTCATCCTGTGTCTCTTATCTGGAGACATGTAGCATGTATAGCAGTTTCATTATGAATTCTTTGGAACTGTGACTGGTCTTTGCATTGATCAGAATAGCTAAGTCTTTCAGAGTTATTTATCTTTGTGATCGTATAAATTATTCTTGTGGTTCTGCTCACTTCATTTTGCATCAGTTCATAGAAATCTTCACAGGCTTCTCCGAAACTACCCCCTTCATTATTTCCTTACAGTATTTCTATCACCTTCATATACTGTAACTTGTTCAGCCCCCAGTTCATGGCACCTCATCTGTTTTCAATTCTTTGCCACGACAGAAAGAGCTACCATGAACATAAAGACCTTTTTTTTTCTTTTTTGTAGACACAACCGTGATAATTACTGAATGGTTTTCTTAAGGCTTATAAAAGTTGTTTTTCTCTTTAGATGTTTTATCAATCCACTTTTCTTTTTAGCATCATTTATATTTCCCATGACTCTCCCCCTCCCCAGTAGACTTTCCTTGTGACAGTCAAGGAAATCAAATTAACACGTTAGCAAAGTATGCCATAGTTCAGAAATAGACAATACCACCTCTTTACTGAGAGGTGGCAAGCATGTTTCACTATCAGTCTGTGAAATTACAATTGGATAAATGTTCTTGATTCTAGGCTTTTTGCTGCATCCCATCCATCCCTAGGCACAGAAACTGTTGGGTAATATTTGGTAACCCCTTGCTATATTTTAATTAGGAGCCTAAAATATCAAAGGGGCCTGCAACAGCTGCCAGGAAAAACAGCATCAGACAGTGGTATGGATAAGTAATTCAGCTTTCTCTAAGAGAAAGTTGTCTTTGCTTCTGTTCCATTTCTTTCCACCTTGATACAAGTTTGTTTGGTGTCTTGAAAGAAGTACCCTAGTTTGTATTAAGAGAAATGGTGCTGGAAACAGGATTTTGTAGCCAAAGGATTTTGACTCAAATTTCAGTTATCTCAGTGACTTTCTGTGTGTACTTGGGTCCTTGGTTTCTGTAAAATGAAATTGTTGGACTAGGACACTCTGAGGTCACTTTCAGTTCTAAATCTATGATGGCAGGATAAAAGCAAGCAAGCATCCTTGTAAGGTACCTCCTTGGTTCTCTGGAGAAAAGAAATCAAATTGCACTCTCCTAAATTATACTTAATATGAAAGGATTGAGGGGTTAGATAAACACATTTTAAAACATTAATAGACACTATTTGAATTTTCTGTTTCTAATATGAAAGGTCCCATTTCAAAATAGTTTTTGCTTTCTAGGAGAATGTGCTGGATTCTTTGACAGGCCAGCCCTACTCTGAAGATGTTTTGCTTTTTGCTATACCAATATGTGCCCCTTATACGACCATGACCAACTATAAGTAAGTCACCATTGGGTTATTTAAGTCAACAGCATAAAAATAGTATGCCTTATTAACTGCTTCATAATTTAGTGATACGTGCAATTTTTTTTTTATAGATACAAAGTGAAACTTACTCCTGGACTCCAGAAAAAAGGAAAAGGTATTATTGTCCTCTAATTCTTTTAAGTTATAGTTTTAAAGAAGATGGTGAATGAATGAAAACCAGTTCAATATTTTCATCTTTTCTGCTTATAGCTGCTAAAACTGCCTTGAATATTTTCATGCATTCAAAAGAAGCAACAGCAAGAGAAAAAGATTTATTTCGTAGCGTAAAGGTAAGTTTTCTTTCATTGGACCTCTAATATAGCCTCTGGCTCTGATACAGTCAAGCCAGAGTTAAAATAATGGTTATAAATATGTTTAATGTCTATAACTTGAAAAACATGAAGGTACCCAATATGCTTGTATTTTTTAGGACACTGATTTATCAAGAAATATTCCTGGAAAAGTGAAAGTATCTGCACCCAATCTGCTCAATTCAAAGAAGAAATAACAGAGATAATATAATAACATATTTTGAAAGGTACTCAAATGCTCAAAGTGGCTTAGGTAAAATAAGCCACACTATGTATGCATTCTACAAAATAACTTTTTCCCCATTCAAATGGAAAAAAAAACCCAGTATCTTAATTGTAAGTTTATACAAGATTTTGTACAACACTATATATACACCTATTCACCTAAATTAACATGCAATTTAGGTCACAAGTGAACCTTCATTTCATGTTGAAATAGTGAGATGCTGCAGACCTAAAAATTACCCTTTAACAAATGTTGTTCGATCCTACTCCTGTTGGAACAGTTTTTCTCCTAATGTTAACAACCACTTGATTTGTACTGTGAGTATCCATGTGCAGTTTTCCCTTCCTCCAATCACTTCTGGAATTCCTGTTAGTATAAGCTATGCATGTGTTTATAAAAAATGACTGAATGTGAGTCAGTTGTTCTTTCTGCCCTCACCTGCCCCACTCCCCCAACTACTCCGTGCCACGCACATCCATTGGTTTGTATCAAGCTAAGCATTTTGGTATTTGTGCTACTCAGGAACTGCAGTTGCTAAACCCTCCCAGAATTAGATATGACATTTGGAATTCCTTTGTTCAGGCCAGAAGATAACAAAAGAAAGTTATACTTGGGGGGAGGGGAGAGAAAGGACATCTTTAGAAATTTATATAAAAACCTCTCTAGTTTCTTCTGCAACTTAGTCATACCTGAAACACTTAAGGTTTTTCCAGTTGACATTTAAACTATCTCAGGAGAGTTATGATACGATTATGTACTTAACTGGGTATTCATATTCTACCATTTCCCTTCTCCATTTATGAATAATTTTGACCCTTGACAGTTGAATTTCAATTAAATTATTTTGGCCTTTCTCTAGTTGAAATCTTCCTTAATACTGTGAGATGATTCTATAAGGTTTATACCCTATTCAGAATATTAAATAAGAATATGTGATAGCCATTCTTGGACTTTTTGTCCAGTATATTTATTTCTTTTTGCTCTAATAGAAGAAAATCATTTGCATTAAATGCATTTATTGCAAATTTCTTCAGACACAAAAATAGGTTCTCTAGACCATTCACATGCAAATTTAAGCCAAAAAGGCTTATAACAACACAGCTTAGAGATGATGCCACACTCTGTGAAATTAATTACACCTTTTAGAATTTTGCTTGTCCATGCAAGATTTATTGGAGGCATGACCTGTAGAGAGTCTTATGATCCAGATGTATTGTTACTACCAAACCTCTGAGTCACACTGTGAAGTAAGTGCTTTGGAAGGCAGTTCCATGAGCTGGCTAGTAAGTCTTTAAAGCAAATGACTGCTTCTAGGCTTAGCCTGAAAAGGAGAAAACATCACTGTTAAAGCACTTTGAGTTTTAAGAAATTACAAAAAAAGGAATTACGGAGATAGATAGGAAAACTGTAGTTTGTAAGTGATGCTTGTGTTAAGCATCCTCCCTCAAATGCCCAACTTATTTTTCTAAATAATTTACAAGAAATTAACCAGTTAAAAAAAATATTTTCCCCCTTAGCTTACCTTACAAGAGATTTTGGTTGTACTGAAAACACAAGTATTTCATTACTGTGAGCCTAAGAGAGATTAACAAAATTTTTTTTAGTGAAATTCAGAACTAAAAAAATCATCTTTAAAAAAATAAAACTATACTTACTGCTTTGTGCTGGGCAAGCAAGTTGTTAGCACACCCACCAAAAACAATCACTTCTCCTTCATCACTTGCACAAGCTGTATGCCATAACCTGCACAGTAACAAAAGATTTCAAGTTAAAAAAACAAATGCCTTCCCTTCTACAGATTAGCGGTCTTCCCACCTCCTCCCCACTATACTGTTGAGTAGGGAAGGTGAAGGAAGAAAAGCTCCCTGCCCCCATGGCTATATTCATATCACACCAAAACTGGAGGATAAAAATTTGGTCCATCATAAAGATACACATCTCTATATTATATACATAAGCCAGGTGACCAGTTTTTCCTCTTTCAATGTTCTGGTGTTAGAATTAGCCTGAATGGTATCCATCTGGTTAGTATATTAGGTATATGTGCTATATGCATAAAAAAAATTTTTCACCTAAGATACTTTAACCAAATGGATACCATTCAGGCTCTTTATCTAATGAAATGTGATTCCAGCTGCCAATTCCTGGCAGTTCTGTTTCCATATCTCTCTATTCAAATGTTTCTCCATACTGCAATAACCTCCTTCTTTCAGAGGCGGGGGCTTCTCCACACGGCTGTCAAAGTAATCTTCTTAAGGTACAGGACAATGCATAGCAGTCTTTTATTGGAAAATGTACCTTAAAAACTCCTTAGGAGAAAACAAATAAACGGGGCAGCTAGGTGGCACAGCGGATAGAGCACCAGTGCTGGAATCAGGAGGACCCGAGTTCAATTCCAGACTCAAACACTTGACGTTTACTAGCTGTGTGACCCTGGGCAAGTCACTTAATCCCACTGCCTAGCCAAAAACAACAACAAAAAACCCCCAAACTCCTCAGCCTGATGTATAAAAGTCATCTACAAAGTTTCTACCTATCCTTATATATATTTCATATCACTCATTCTGTTTTCCAAACAAACTGGATTTAATGTTTCCTGAACTCCACATTACATCTCCTTATGAACTGTCTCCTAAGCCTAGAATGTTGTACACTCCTTATATCTCCTAGCTTCAAGGCTCAGTTCAGGTGTCACCTCTAAGTAAACCTTCTTTCCCCTCAAATTGCCTGGTATTATTTGTGTCTTACCATCCTAGCAGATTACAAGCTACCTCAAGGGAGATATGTTTCTGTCTTTGTCCTTGTATCCCCAGCACCTCACAATGTTTAAGAAATGTTCATTAAATTAAAATGAGTTGAATTAAAGATAGTTTATAATAAAGTTTCATGTGAACACTGAATAAATATATCAGTTTCCAACTGTTTGTCCAGTACCTTAATCTCCACACATGGGAACAGAATGAATTGTGGATGACATTTGAAGTTTCAGAAAAACCTTTCAAAAGAAAAATGCCCTCTTACTAGAACTCATCTTTTCTATTAGTGTATTTTTTTCAGATTCTGAATTACACCATCACTACTTAACCTAGGCAAAGAAGGATATTAACTCTAGGGAAGCAGGAAAAAACAGTGGACCACAGTTCAAATCCTGCCTGTGCCTGTATAATTTATTATATGTGAGCAATTTATGAATTTAATTTCTCCCCTCAAGACAGTGCTTAATGCCCATAATTATGAGACAGATTTATGAAAAAAAAATCCCATTTCAAGCTCTCGCCTTTCTAAGGTACTTAAAGTTTATATACAGTGATTTTTTTTTTTTGGTTAAGCAACTTTGGGGAGGAGGAGGAAATGATCATTTTGAAAAAAAGAAAGATACTCTATTGAAGACTGAGATATGGGCTCAACCATTTCTAGAATCCAGTAATCTGAGGGTCCCATGAATTCCTAATGCCTGTTCTGCTGAATAATTCTCACAGCCTTTCTCATACATATGTAGGTACTGAGATATTTAAAACTTTAAAGGATTTTTAATTATGATCGATGATTTCTTAATATGCCTACCTTCCTGGTTTTGTTAACATTCTAAATAAGGAGCGTTAAAATTTAGGGAAGGGGTTCTCTTTAGCTAACTAGTCCAGCCAGCCCTGTCCCCATTTTACATAAGGAAACATTCAGTTTTTTACTTGTCCAAAGTGACATAGCCAATTAATGGAATTGGATATAAAAGCCTAATGGTATATCATGGATCTAATATCATATCTGTGATGATCTGGCCTTGCTGAATAGCTGATTAGTATAATCTACCATCCTAAGCAATTTATGGATGAAGTTCATTATAAATGTGTATTGTAGCATTGAAAAAAAACTCTACTAATAGGAAGGAAAACACTCTAGAACAAAGAATGATGAGCATTTCAAGTTACCTTTCTAGAAAAAAATCAATTATTCCAACAGGAAGAAAGTTAAAACTATACCTATTCCCTCAGAAGCTTAAATTTTTAGAATGCAGAGTTATTAACTAGCCACAGAAATGATACCATACCATTTTGAGGGGAGGGATGGAGCCTGTGAAGGAACTCCCAGGAAGGAAACTACATCTACCAATGCCTACGTCTCAGAGGCAGAACCTGAACTAATTACTTAGTCCTGACTCCAAAAAACACTATGCTATTACTCTATCCAACGTTGATAATTTCATGTAATGTTAAGTAGTCTACGTCAAATGGATTTTTCTAAAACATTAGGCATTAAGACCAAAAGACATGTAAAACATAAAGGCTTCCTTCCCCATTCACCAGAATACTCTCCAGACACTTCAAATTTGTCCATTTTATTGCTATTTCTTTTAAGTCATTTTTTTTAGATGCCCACCTAATTCAGAAACTAGTCAATGTCACACAGTAAATCTCTCATTTGAAGATATACAATAACTTCTTCCTGTAAATGTGTAAAGTACAAAACTGAAGAAAATTTGAAGGACAATTTCTAGGTCCAGATTTTACTTTTAAGATTTTGTGAGAAGTAGTTGAAAAGAGTAAGATTAAGGATAATTAAAGAGGAAAGACCTAATTAAATAAGAAGGAAAAGGAAGACAGTAATTAGCAAGGCAAGGAAGGATAAGTAAATATTTGTAAAGGGATTGTAGGGGGCAGAGCCAAGATGGAGGAATGAAGTTAGCATTTTGGCTCCCTAACCACTTCCCTACACTAGACAGCATCCGGTGATAGTGGCCTTCTTGTTGTTTCCTGAATGAGATGTTTCATCTCTAGACTTCTGCCATTTTCACTAGCTATGTCCCATGTCTGGAATGCTCGCTCTCCTCATCTCTGCCTCCTAGCTCTACTGAGTCTCAGGTAAAACCTCAAGTTTTTAGAGGAAACCTTTCCCAACCTCTTAATCAACAGTACCTTCTCTCTCTTAATTATCCTCTATTTATCCTGTCTGTATCTTTTTGTATATGGTTGTTTGCAAGTTGCCTCCCCCATTAGATTGTGAGCTCATTGAGGGCAGGGACTTTTTTTTTTTTTTGCCTTTCTGTATTTCCAGCATAAGGCACTATGCTTCATAAATGCTTTTACTGACAATACAGCAGAGAGCCCCGTGGAACACTTAAGGTTAGTGGGCAATATTGAAAGGAATGGAAGTGAGGTTTCAATGGAGAAAAAAAGCATTTCAAATAGATGAGAGGAAACTTAACATTTGTCAAATGGTTAGTGAAAAAATGCCACACAGGAAGAGGAAAGGAAGGAAAAAAAATAAAGAGCTGACAGACTCCAGACCAGAAACAGTCCATCTAATTAGGCTGGTAAGAATGTATCTTTCTAGCGTCTTGCAAATATGGTTCTATTTGAGTTTTTTACAGGATATCATCCATGAAAGTGGCTTCTCTGAAGTACATGTGATCCTTACACTTGACATATACATGAGTGGCACCATTTTGGAAGACAGAAGGCTACATTTGGAGCACAGATTTTAAAACTAAAAGGAAACTTGGATAGAGGTTATCTACCTAAAATGCTTTATAATCAACAACGAATTTGTAAACCAATGAACACAGGAACTAATAGAGATGAGCAAGTAGGTATAGGCTGGTAATGATGTTTTCTCCACTGTCTTTTTTGGTATAATAATACTTTGATCTTTTATATTCTTTTGGGATCTTCCTCTCTTTAAGAATGTGAAAATCATGTGGACTTTAGTATTGATTTCCTCTGTATGTAAGGGAGCAGAGTTAGGAACACTGACGTTGATCTCTACTTCTATACGTAAGGGGGGTTCCACAATGGTCTATTTATAATACTTGAATCTACTTCTTTGTAAATGCTTTTCGAATGAGGAGACCAGAATGCCAGAAAAATGCTAACAGATCTGTTCAACTTAACACCTGTTTACTGTACTCTTTCCAGTTCAATCATTAACGTTTACTCTAACATGCCCTCAAGCTACTGTTCCACATTTCTCTTCCTTTTCATTCCCCAACTACTTCAATCATTCTATCTCCAGAACTATTACAATCACTCTATCTCTAGAGGTCCTATCTCAAATGTAAATCTTAATTTCAAGGTTAAGTTGGATGGCTTTATCTCAATTCTAATCTTCCTTAATCTCTCTACAACTTTAGCTACTGCAGACTATCCTCCCTTCTTAGCTAGTCTCTCTCTTCCCTTACCTTATGTTGCTTTCTTTGACTTTTCCTACCTGTTGAACCCTTACTCAATTTTTTTTCCCTTTCTTTTACTTTTTAGGAGGAAATCAGGGTTAAGTGACTTGTTAAGTCACACAGCTAAGTGAGTGTCTGAGGCCAGACTGGAACTCAGGCCCTCCTGACTCCAGGGCCTGTCCACTACGCTACCTAGCTCCTCCCTTCTTCAATTTTCTTCACCAATTTACTGTCCATTTGCCACTTCCTAAAAATAGGTGTCCTCTGTGGCTCTATCCTGAGCCGCCCTCTGGTCCTTTCTATTCTCTTCTTTAGTGACTTAACTGATGAAATTATTTCTTATGTCTCCCAGACCTAAATATCCAGCCCTAATCTCTCAAAGTCCATTCTCTAAGTGGTTGTTGTTCATTTCTGATTCTTTCAGCTTTTCAAACTCAAAATGTCCAAAAGAAAACTAAAGATGTTTTCCCTTCCTTCCAACTTCCTTATTTCTTATGAGGATATCACCAACTTGAGACATCCAGGTTGCAACTTCTGAGTTGTCCTTCATTCTCCCCTTTCTCTATTACACAAAGAAGTCACTTACGCATGCACAAATTATCTATTCAGCATAAAGCTGATGAATCATTTTTGTTTGCTTATACCTTGGTTTCTCAGCATAGCTGTGTTTAAACTGTATCCATTCATTCTTATTGATCCAATAAGTCCAGGCATCACCTGATAACACAGAGCCAAAGAAAAAAGACCCTTAAGCATATTATTTTGTTGTATGTGGAAGTGATGTTAAACTGCACTTTTTACTTTTATCAAGAAGGAGGTTTGAAGCTCATTTCCAAAAGCATATTACATTTTGTGTATAAGTAGAACAGTGTTATGTGGAGGAATTAGAAATAGATACGGATTTTTTTTACTGGAACCGATAGCTAACTAAATCCCATCCATCCCTTACGACTTTGAAACCTTGCGATAATTAAAAAAAACTGATATAAGACTGATTGTAACCTGTTAGAAGTGGAGGCAGAGAATCCTATTTGTAAATGACTCTTTGGACTTTCTAGAGTAACACAGATAATAAAATTACATATCTTGTTGTGGTATATGAATGTAATGGAATACTACTGTGCTATAAGAAATGATGAGCAAGCAGACTCCAGAAAAGCCTGGAAAGGCTTGTATGGACTGATGCTGAGTGAAGTGAGCAGAACCAGGAGAACGATTTTACACAGTAACAGCCACATTGTGCGATGACTAATATTGACAGACTTAGCTCTCCTCAGCAATGTGAGGATCTAAGACATCTCCAAAAGTCTCATGGTGGAAAATGCTATCCAAATCCAGAGAAAGCACTATGGAGTTTGAATGTAGATTGAAGCATACTATTTGCTCTTTTTTTTTTTCTTTCTGTTTTGTTTTGTTTCTTCTTTGTTGTGGTTCCCCCTATTGGTTCTAATTCTTCCTTACAACATGACTAATGTGAAAATATATTTAATAGGAATGCATATGTAGAGTCTATATAAGACTGTATGCCATGTTGCAAAGGGAAGTGGAGAAGGAGGGGGAGAAAATTTAAAACTCAAAAGCTTATGGAAGTGATTGCTGAGAACCAAAAATAAATTAATTAATCTAAAAAAAAAGAAAAACAATAAAATTACATTTGTTTACATACTCTTCCTGTAGTAAGTTAGGGGCACGTGTTCTGCTCAGTCAAAGGCATCAAAACAACTTACTTAGTGGTTGTTTATCAGTGGTAAACCCGCCGAAGAGAAAAAGATGATCTGGAGAAACTGGTGTTAAAGAATGCCAAGAACGACCAACTGGGCACAGACCTTGTGGAATTCTGAAAAAGTAAAAAATAACTGTAATCAATGCAATAAGAAGAATGTTCTAATTTTTTCCTACTTCCCTTTAAACACAGAATTCAACAACTGAGTTACAAATTGGCATGCATCAGCATTAGCAAATTTTTCATTATTAACCCCTAAGTAAGGATGTCCTTAAAAAACAAAGCCTAGCTATCATGTTTGCCTCAATGACTGATTATGGTAAAATTAAGAATAAGCAAAATGTACTAATAGAGCTTTAATAAGGAATGAATCTACATTGAAAAGTTTTTTCTTTTAAAGGACTTTTCTAATGTTATGTGTTACCTACAATTCATTCCATTCCCATGTGTCCAGATTAAGATAATGGAGATCATTCATCCTGGAATCCTAAGGGAGGGAAGAAAAAGTTACTCTAAATTATCCAAAAGCAAACCAAAATTTAGGAAAAGATATACTCACTCGGTATCTGCCTCCAAATACAAAGCCTTTGTTTCCAGCAGTAGCACAGGCATGGGCAGCTCTAGGAGACGGAGATTTACCCTACAAAAAGCATCACACAAGACTGAGCTTTGCTAACAGACTTTAATTTAAGACTAAGCTGATAGTAGAAAATGGTTGTTTCTGGGCATGAGAACAATATTAACAGAATTGTATCTACAGCTTGGCCAATAAAAACAATCAATAGCAATACTAATGTGAAGAGACAGGAATACTAGACAAACTGCCCAAATGAAATGTAAATCTCTAGTGTAAACTGGAATTTATTCATCTCCTTTGCTATTTCCCTTTAATGAAAGAACTAATAATTCTTAAAAGTTTACTTTAAGTGACTATATAGGAATTATAAAACAGGTGAATGCATTTTGCCTGTAGTGCCTGGATAGCAAGATGCTATATATCTTAACTTCTGAGTATACAGGAAGGAGAACACCAAATGTGAAGACATCAACCACATTACTTATCCTCTTCCTAACAAGTGCAAAAATAGATTACATCATGTAACCAAAAAGTAACAATATAAAATTATACCTCACATCCTTCAATCCATTTTCTAGTTTGAGAAGATATTTACACTTTTTAAAAAATTGTGATCAGAATAAAAAGACTAATTTTAATTCAGTGTTCTGTAGAAACTTACTGTAGTTATAGGCTGCCTCCAGGTAAAAGTTTCCGTGTCCAAAACATGTACATGATCATTCCACCCCCTGGGATGACTTGAGTTCTAAATAAGATAAAAATTTAAATTTAAATACTTTTGGGCACACTCAGTTCCCAACTTACGGTTTCCACATACTTATCCATATTAAATTATACACTGTGAGCTCCTTAAGAGAAGAGACCTTTTTCTGTATCCCAGGGCTTACTCAGCACATAGCAAGTACTTAATGCTTACACTTATGACTTGATTAACAAGGCATACTAGAAACGGAAGGAAGGAAAGGGGTATATGTGGTGATGTCATCAAAAATTCGGTTTAATTCAACAATCAGTTATTAATACTGTCTCAAATAATTTTAAAAATCACTTACCCAAAAAGATGTTTCATCAAACTCAAAAGTTCCCAGTTGTTTATCTTCAGGTAAATACCCATAACCTCCAAAAAATATTAGCCTGTAATATAAAAATAAGACATTTTACAAACTCTATCACAATGCTAGCTTATTCACTAGTGATTCATTTTATTGTATCACATTCAAAATGCTGACGAGATATCTTTTTGGCATTTGCTTCACTAAGATGAGAATGTTAAGTTTTAGGTTTTTAAGGGTAAAAACATTTTATATTTAATTATTATTCATAGGTAATAAAGAATACATCATAAATTTAAGGGTAAACCAGTTTTATATGCAAACAATACACTAATGCTACTAACTCACTTGTTTTTATATACCCAGACACCAAGTTTGTCCTTTGATGATGGGGGAATTCCTTGGCAATCAACTCTTACCCACTGCAACACTTTGTCTGTAGACCTCGAATCCAGCATGTAGAACTGCAGAAAAAAATTTATTTAGGCAGTTAAAATGAGGGAGAAGAGACTGCACACAATTGTAGAGCAGTATTTATCTAGGTATTTCAATGCAGGTTACCAAAAATCTGTCATTCCAGCTTCAAACAGATAAACTTTCCCCCCATATCTACGAGAAATCTCATATTCTACCAAATTTAAGCTCTGTAACCTTGTCATCCTATCCAACTTACTACAATCATCCTTTCATTGACCTTGGCACTGCCAGTTTCTTTTTTCCTCCAAATTGTGTCAAAAATCATGTTATTACTATCTCACAGGACCATGCTGAAAATGCTTTGCAAATTAGTGCTTTACACCTATTCATTCTATCAAGCATGGTGCCCTATTGCGAGTGGCATACGAATGTTCAATTACAAGGGACAAAACTACCTTCAAAAGAAATGTTAAATCAGCCAATAGATAATACACAAATATCTGAAAAACAGAAATTTTTGCAGCCAAAGTACTAAAGGCAGTATTTCATGGATGGCCAACATATTTTTGAAAGTAGTAGAGTAATAAATCCTTTAATTTTACTTGAATAACCTAAAAAATCTGGTGTCCCCAAACTTACTGCTTCTAGAGGTAGGAAAAGAGAACTTTACATTCTTGAAAGCACTAACCTTGTTGGTATTGCCTCTCGAATGATGGCCTCCAAATAAGTACAGCACTCTGTCCACACAAACGGCACAACTCCCTGACATAGAAGGGGGGACATCACCTTCAGTATTTTTCTTTGTCCTAATGGGAAATAAAAAAGCTATATGTTAACTGTCTTTCCAAAGAGGACAGGGCAGATGAGATACCTAGTTTAGAAACATCACTTTTTTAAACCTAACATTTTTTTCCCCTATAGTAAGGGAAAAGTACTTACAGAATCAGAGTTGGAAGGGGCCTTCAGTGGCCTTCGAGTTCAGTTCTCAAGAGATGCCATCAAATCAGAAATGCCCTCCAACAATGCATTTTTCAATGCACCTCTGCCTGCCTATCCTATGTAACTAACCTTATCCGTGTCCTCCTATAAGTTTACCACAAAGACGCATCTAAGATGCTATCCTATGACACGGGCTACTTACACCTATCATTTCTGGCCCATCTCTGATGACATCTTTTTATGCATGTTTTTCAAATGTCCTCACTGCTTATACGCTAAACCCTGCTCAGACACACCAAGTGCCTCTCCACTAGTCTTTGTGATATTCACTTCTCTGACTAGAGTGTAGCCATATAGAAACACTAGTAGAAAGGTGATTTTTAAAAGATGGGCTTTGTGGGAAGGAGCCAAGATGGTAGAGAGAAGCCAGGAAATTGCCTGAGCTCTCTCCCACTTTCCCTCAGAAACAATGTTAAAGCAAGCCTCTAAACAGATTCTGGAGTGACAGAACTCAAAAAAGATGGCAGTGAAACAATTTTCCAGCTCAGGATAACTTAGAAGGACTTCAGGCATGGTCTGTCTCACTCAGGTAAAGGGGAAGCACAGTCCAGCACAGTGTCCAGGCAAGCCAGCAGGTGGCTATTAGCCGCAGCGCAAATCAGCAAACAATCTGGGCTCAACAGATCAGCAGTGACACCTCCAGCCCCACTGCAGAAGGCAAACTGCAAGCTCCAGAACCCTGGCACAACAGGCATGACTAGGCTGGGCCACCCCCAGTGCCGTGGGCAAGCCGCAACCACGAGAGGTCTCGGTGTAGAAAGCCAGTGACGAGGCCCCTGCCCACTTCTATTTTTAAAGGAGCTGTTTTCTTCAGTCAATTATATCTATATAACTTCCAAGCTGTTGACTCGTTTTTCATAATTCTCCTGTGTTAATAACTCTCATTTCTTCTCCCCCTTTTTCTTCGTACGTAATTTTTCAGATCCTGTTTGAGCTCCTCCAAAAGCACTTTTTGGGCTTGAGACCAACTCCTATCCCACTTTGAGACTTCACGGGCAGGGATTTTGACATTGTCCTCTTCTGAGTTTGTGTTTGGATCTTCCCTGTAGCCAGAGCAGCTTTCTATGGTCAGGGCTCTTTTCTGTTTCTTACTCATTTTCCGGCCTGTTTTGTGACTTTTAAAGTTGAGCTTTGTTCCTGGGACACAGGAGGCACTGTCCCAAGAGTCCTGAGCTGTGGGCCAGGGGCCTAGTCGTTGGCAAAAATATTAAATGCATTCTTTTCAGAACATGATGCGATAAAAATTACGTGTAATAAAGGGCCATGGAAAGATAAGCTAAAAACTAATTGGAAACTATATAATCTAACCCCCCAAAATGACTGAGTCAGACAGCAAATCATAGAAACAATCAATAATTTCATCCAAGAGAATAACAATATAAGACAACATACTAAGACTTACGGGATGAAGCTAAAGCAGTTCTTAGGGGAAACTATATAGCTCTAAATGTGTACATGAATAAAATAGAGAGAGAGGATATTAATGAAGGCACGCGACTAAAAAAGCTAGAAAAAGAACAAATTAAAAACCCCTAATTAAATATCAAGTTAGAAATTCTGAAAATCAATTAATAAAATTGCAAGAAAAATAAAACCAAGAGCTGATTTTAGGGGAAAAAAAACAATAAAATAGATAAACCTTTGGTTAATTTGATTTAAAAAAAAAGAAAACCAAGTTACCAGTCTCAAAAATGACACAGGTGAATTCACCACTAAGGAAAAGGAAATTAAAGCAATAATTAGGAACTATTTTGCCCAACTGTATGCCAATAAATCTGACAATCTAAGTGAAATGGATAAATATTTACAGTAATATAAATTGCCCAGATTAACAAAAGAGGAAACATAACACTTAAATAACCTAATTTTAGAAAAAGAAAATGAATAAGCCATCAATGAACTCCATAAGAAAAAATCTCCAGGACCAGATGGATTTACCAGTGAATTCTACCAAACATTTAAAGAACAATTAATTCCAATACTATATAAACTAATTGGAAAAAGAAGTCCTACCAAATTCCTTTTATGACACAAATATGGTGCTGATATCTAAACCAGGAAGAGCCAAAACAGAGAAAGAGACTTACAGACCAATTTCCCTAATGAACATCAATGCAAAAATTCTAAATAAAATATTAGCAAAAAGATTACAGCAATTTATCACCAGGATAATACACCATAACCAGATGGGATTCATACCAAGAATGCAGGGCTGGTTCAACGTTAGGAAAACTACCAACATAATTCACCGTATCAATAACAAAATCAACAGAAATCATATGATTATCTCAACAGACGCAGAAAAAGCTTTTGACAAAATATAGCACCTATTCCTATTAAAAACACTAGAGAGCATAGGAATCCACTGTAGCTTTCCTTAAAATAATAAGTAGTTATCAATCTAAGATCATCAACAAGCATTATCTATGATGGGGATAAACTAGAAGCCTTTCCAATACAACCAGAAGTGAAGCAAGGATACCCATTATCACCACTATTATTCAATATTGTATTAGAAATGCTAAATATAGCAATAAGAAAAGAAATTGAAGGAATTAGAATAGGCAACAAGAAAACAAAACACATTTTACAGATGATATGATGGTATACTGAGACAATCAAAAAACTACTTGAAATAATTAACAACTTTAGCAAAGTTGCAGGATATAAAATAAAACTACATAAATCATCAGTATTTCTATATATTACCAACAAAACTCATCAGCAAGAGATAGATTCCATTTAAAATAACTATACAATATAAAATACTTGGGAGTCTACCTACCAAAACAAACCCAGGAACTATATGAACATAATCATAAAACACTTTTCACACAAATAAAGTAAGATCTAAACAAATATTAATTACTCATGGGTAGGCTGAAACAATAAAATAAAAATTACAATTCCACCTAATTTCCTTATTCAGTGCCATACCAAAAAATTATTTTATAGAGCTAGATAAAATAATAACAAAATTCATCCTGAAGAACAAAAGGTTCAAAAGAATATCAAAGGAATCAATGAAAAAAATTACAAAGGAAAGTGGCCTAGCCATAACAGATCTAAAACTATATTATAAAGCAGCAATAATCAAAACTATTTGGTACTGGCTAAGAAATAGAGTGATGGGTCAGTGGAATAGGTCAGGTACACAAGACACAGTAGTAAATGACTACAGTAACCTACCATTTCACCGATAAGAACTCACTATTTGACAAAAACTTCTGGGAAAACTGGTATGGCAGAAACTAGGCATAGACCAACATCCCACACCCTATACCAAGGTAAGGTCGAAATGTGTAATGATTTAGACATAAGGGATGATATCATAAGCAAATTAGGAGAGCAAGAAATAGTTTACCTGTCAGATCTATGGAAAAGGGAAGAGTTTATGACCAAGGGGCAGCTAGGTGGCACAGTAGATAGAGCACCAGCCGTGGAGTCAGGAGGACTTGAGTTTAAATCTGGCCTCAGACACACATAACATTTACTAGCTGTGTGACACTCTGGGCAAGTCACTTAATCTCAACTGCTTTGCCAAAAAAAAAAAAATTATGACTAAACAAGAGATAGAGAACATTATGAAATACAAAATGGATAATTTGATTACATTAAATTAAAAAGGTTTTGCACAAATAAAACCAATGCACCCAACATTAGGACAGCAGAAAGCTGGGAAACGATTTTTATAGCCAGTGTTTCTGATAAAGGTTTCATTTCTAAAATACATAGAGAACTGGGTCAAATTTATAAGAATACAAGTCATTTCTCAATTGATAAATGGTCAAAGGATACGAACAGGCAGTTTTCAGATGAAGAAACTAAAGCTATCTATAAACATATGAAAAAATTTTCTAAGTCACTATTGATTAGAGAAATGCAAATTAAAACAACCCAAGGTACCACATTATACCTATTGGATTGACTAATATGACAAAAAAGGAAAATGATAAATGTTGGAGAAGATGTGGGAAAATTGTGGATCCAATCATTCTGGAGAGCAATTTGTAACTATTTCCAAAAGGCAACCAAACTGTACATACCCTTTGACCCAGCAATTCCACTATTAGGTCTATATCCCAAAGAGATCATAAAAAAGGGAAAAGGAGCCACATATTTACAGCAGCTCTTTTTGTGGTGGCAAAGAATTGGAAATTGAGGGAATGCCCATCAGTTGGGGAGTGGCTGAACAAGTTGTGGTATATGAATGTAATGGAATACTACTGTTCCATAAGAAATGATGAGCAGAAAAACCTGGAAAGATTTTCATGAACTGATGCAAATGATGATGATGTCTGAGAAAAACCAGGAAAACACTGTACACAGTAATAGAAACATATGGTGATGACCGACTTTGATAGGCTTAGCTCTTACAATGATCTAAGTCAATTCCAAAAGACTCATGACGGAAAATGCTACCCACAACCAGAGAAAGAACTATACTGTGAATGTAGATCGAAGCATACTATTTTCTCTTCTTTTTTGTTCTTTGTTTCTCATAGTTTTTCCCTTTTGTCCTGATTCTTCTTTCACAACAAGACTAATGTAGAAATATGTTTAAGATGATTATACATGTATAGCCTATATCAGATTTCATGCTGTCCTGGGGAGGGGAGAAAATTTAGAACTCAAAATCTTATAAAAGTGAATGCTGAAAACTAAAAATAAATAAATAAATGTTAAAAGAAGAAATGATGAGCAGGCAGATTTCAGAAAAATCTAAACTTAGGTGAACTGACACTGAGTGAAGTAAGCAGAACCAGGAGAACAACGATCCAAGACAATTCCAAAAGACTCATGATGG